CTCCTGTTCTGCTAGCTCCCATCTAACTGCCTAGTACAATAAGGTCATTGAATCGTATTTGGTAGAAACCTGTCTCCCTGTGACATGCTCCCCCTGGCATTAGTTCTGCACTGCAAAACAATGAGAATAACCATCTGTGGCGGCTGCGTGCGCATGCCAAGCGCCAAGCATGTCTCTAGTTTGACCTCATTTAATCCCCATAACCACCCTGTGGAGTAGACACTGTTATTATCACCCTTTTGTGGAGGAGGCTGCTGGTGCTCAGAGAGGTCCAGCAACCTGCCCAGCGTCACACAGCTGATAAAGAGCTGAGCTGGGGTTCAAATGGAGGCTTGTCTGGTTCTGTCTCTTAACTCTTACATCACACGACCTCCTGCGGCAGCACGTCTTTATGGATTAAAGGCAGATCTCACGGTCCCCTGGTCTTCCTCTTTCCACTTAAAACTTCCCTGTTCTTTCAGCAAGTGCTTGTGATAGATCTGGAATTCTGGCATGTAAGATGAAAGGGACTTGAAAACAGGCCTACTGCGTGACACCAGATTTTCTTCCCCGATAAAAGCGAGAACGTCGTGGGAAGAAGGCCTTCCCCTCCCGTCCTTCCTCCTGTCTTAAACTCAGAGTGTGGGGACAGCCTGCGGCACGGCACTGTCATGACCACAGGGGAGCGGAGGAAAGTTTGTAGAGATGCTGCCCGGGTGTCCTGACATCACCACGTGGATGTTCCTGTATCACCTCCCCGTGACCCCTACGCTGAGATATTCGGATGTCTTTAGAGTGACAATTCTCCCACCACAACAAGTTCCAGAATCCTCCAGAGGCTCGTGAACACGTGCGTGCCGGATGCCCTCCAGAGGTTCTGACTCAATGTGTCTGGTCCAGGGCCTGAGAATATGCATTTTGAACAAGTCCTGGGGCCATTAGAGGTGGTCTCTGTTACCTGCAGCCAAAAGCATTCCAACTGGGGCAATTAGTCACCATCCTCCGAGCACGCGCCTTGAGCACTTTCTGATCTGCAGCTCACCTCATTCCATTTTCACATGGCTATGAGGTGGCGGTGGTCAACTTCCATCTTCCGGATGACCAGCTCGAGGCCCAAAGAGGCAAGCTGACCAGCCTGAGGTCCCACAGCTGGTAAGAGGGCTCCCAGGTCCAGTGCTCTGTCCCCGTGTCACTGTGTGTCAGAGCACACTCTGTCAGTGGGTCCCCAGGCAGCGTGGCTTGGGCTCAAGGCACCTCCGCACCCGGCCTGAAGTCACACGGCTTCCACAGGTTTTTGCCTCATCTCAGATGAGTTCTGTAGAAAGGGAGCAGCAGCCCCTTCCTTCGTCACCACAGCCTCCCCTGGGGGCCACTGCAGCTTTTCCCTGCTGGAGGTTAGGGGCTGAGGGGCTGAGGTAAGGGACGGTGGCATCCTGGGACATCAGGACACAGGAAGGCTGAGGAAGGCTGCAGATTCTGAGGGAGGAGGACTGGGAGGAGAGGCTTTCCAGCTCTCCAGGTGGGGGTGCTGCCCATGGGGGGCCTTTCTATGAACTTGATGATGCTTTTGTCAGAAATCAATGTTTCCCAAAGATCAGGCAATATTATCGTATCTCTGTGATTTTTGGCAACCCAGCTACACAATTGCTTACTTAATGTTTTAAAATGACCATCTAAAAAGCCTGAGCCATATTTACTATAGAGGAAAGTTCTCCCCACCATCAACGAAAAAGAGCAGCGCTGGTCATAAATAGAGGGACTGTATGAGGTAAAAGGTCAACCAGGTGCCCCCCAAATCACTTGTGGGCTACGGTACATTAGAAGAGGTGGGGACACGTGACTGCAAATCCATGGAAGCGGGGCTGATGATAACTGGGAAGAAGGTGACCGTTATAGATTGAATTGTGTCCCTTCTCCTCAAGTTCACATGTTAAAGCCCTGACCCCCCAATTTGACTGTATTTGCAAATGGGGCCTTTAAGGAGGTAATTGAGGTTAAATGGGGTCATAAACGTGGGGCCCTGACCCAGCAGGACTGGTGGCCTTATAAGAAGAAGAGCCACTGGAGATGCACACACAGAGGAAAGGAATGCAATCGAGAAGGTGGCCATCCAGATGCCAAGGAGAGAGGCCTCAGGGGAAACCAGCCCTACCGCCATCTTGGTCTTGGACTTCCAGACTCCAGAACTGGGAGAAATAAAATTCTGTTGTTTAAGCCCCTGTCTCTGTAGTCTTCTGTTATGACAGCCCAAGCTGATTAAGACAGTGACAGAATGAGGTGGAGGCTGTCACCATGTACCACTGCGATAGGACGTGGGGACCAGCAATGTCAGCATCACCAGGAGCTCCTGGGAAATGTGGGCTCTCAGTCCCCATGGCAGACTTGCTGGACCAGAATCTGCATTTTGACAAGTCTCCTCCACCCCGTGTGACTCACGCACTTTAAGCGACATCTTTTCCTGTTTATCAGGTGGAGGTCCCCAAAAGGCTCCGGAAAGTCCAGCAGTAATTAGCGTCTCTGTGCCTATGAGCCATGGTCCTTCCTAGTAGAAGTGGTATAAACAAAATAACAGCCTGCATGGAGGTGTCAAAGGTTTTATTGCACAAACTGTTCAGATTTGTCCATAAAAGATACATCACAGAAATGTTTTAGAAATCAAACCAGTTTTATTGAAACAATAGCAAGGTGGTCCCTGTTCATGCAAAGCACAATTTTTTTTTTTACAATAAACGTTTGTACATAGGAATTAGTAAAATACATCATTTTTCATAGAAAAAAAAGCACACACATGTAAACTGCGGGCTGAGTGAGCCTACAGACAGTATGAAACGTCAGAACACATGGGACAAAAATCTGAAGGAAACCGACACTCTTCATTTTCGGGGCAGGAGACCCAGAAACTCTGCTGGCCTGATGGACTGTCTTTTGATGGGTTAAGTGCTGATGGTGCAATGGGTCTCGCTAACCACAAAACTAGAGGTGGTCCCTGACTACAGGCCTTATGACTTGTTGTCTTAGTTTTCGTTTGCAGGAGAAAAATGGTTCCAGTTTCAAAATGTTCATGAGGATGAAGGAGACACAAGATCTGGCTCTGGGCAGGGAATTTCTGCTCCGTTAGATGGGCCCGCTCACCAAGGCATGCAGGAGTCCAGGGACGTAATTTAAAATGAGGGGAGTCTACTCATTCTGGAAATTTCAGATTCTGCCATGGGCGGGAGGCAGCAAAAGCAAACCCACTGACGTTCCCCCAGACTAATTCCCAAAACCCCACTTTCCAGACTCGACAGAGCCACAGCCACAGCCACAAAAGACTGTGACAAGCAGAAGTCCAGCAGCATAACACATAATATCTGGAAGTTTCCAAGTACCTCAGATCTTTGAAGGTAAGTAGACACAGTATCTGACAGGCTGCCCGGATTCCTTCGCTCTGGCATTTGGGGTTGAATAATCAGAAGCTATGAATTACTACAAGCCCACAATGCACACAGCAAAAACACGGGCCCACTCATTTCAGCTCTGTCCAGCAAAGAGCTTCATTGCTTATACAAACTCCCTAAAGTGGGGAGGGGAGAAGCTTTTTACCTTCAGTTTTTGCACTAATAGGAATGCACTCAAGGATGCACCAGCTTTCCCCCTCCTCCTGATTTCTTTGCCTTTCAAATAAAATCGAATTTGAAACTGGCATTCACAAAAGTGATCTATCAGCCAGCCTGGTGCCGGAGGGTGGAATTTTACCTTCTGTAAAGAAACGCTATTTACAAAAGGGTATTTTATTTCACTGTGGGTTTTGGTCTGGGCTTATGAAGAACTTTTATAAAGTGATGGAAGCCAGAGAGCACCACACTCCTCGGAGCCTCAGGAACATTTGGCAAGAGTTGTTCCACAAAAACAGGAAGAGAAGTCCTTCTAGAGTGTTACCCTCTCTTGCGGGTTATTACGCCGCAGGACGATTTCATAACCACAGGCTGTTCCTCTTCCCAGAGCTGCTAACCTCGGAGAAGAAGATCTAAGGAATCCATTCCTCCCACTGCTAAAAAAAAATAGGTCATCCAACAGAAGGTGAATCTGCACGTTTAATTGTCATTTTTAAAAAAGCAGCAACTGAACAGCCCTTCTTGGAATGTTCTTAGACATCTCAGTGAAAACATCAGAGGCTAAGAGTTTTTTTGTTTGTTTGTTTTCTTTTTTAAAATGGGCTTCAAACACAATCACTTGCAAAGCAAAGCCCCTGGTGTGAACTATGACACAAAAACTAGTCTGGGCTGGATGTGAGCCACGATGGGTAGAGGGTAAAGGAAGGATCCTGGTTCATTAGTCCTCAATGAGACCAAATGTCACGGCAGCAAACAGACGGGCCACATGGACGAAAGGAAGGACAAAGACAAGATAAATCTCTTGAGTTACTACCGAACTCTAAATAAACCAGCACTGCTGTATAGAGGACTGGCCTGCGTGGGGCAGGATGGGGGCGGGGGCAGAGCCTGAGCCTCTCTCCCCCGGCCCCCTGTTCAGCCCATTTGTCTGACCAGCAAACATTAAACTCATTTTTCTCCATTGGCAGGGACGGACTGTGCTTTTACATTTTTTAAATAACTGCCTTCTACCCCATTCCTGAAACTCCCCTGTGTGTGCTCAGTATGCCGCCTCCCGTGTCCCTGAAGGCCTCGCATGGCGAGCTCCACGCCTGGCGCTCCCTCCATGGGTTTGGAATCCTCTCTCCCCCCACAGAAGAACACACGGGGAAGGCCAGCTTGGGTGACTGTCTGTGTAGAGGGGGCACCAAGGGGAGACCCCAGGCCTCAGCAGCACCAGTCGCCCGTTGTCCGGCCAGGCCCCGGAGGATGCTGCCTCTCCACGGGGCAGAGGTGAGACAAGGCACGGAGGATGTGACACTGAACGCCACTCAGAGGAAGTTTCCTGCCACTCCACACCCCCAGCCCACCCCCAAATGATAAAATAAAAATAAAAAGCAAAACCCAGAAGCCCTCTGGAAGACCCCCCTTCTCCCCAGCACTGGAAGCTCACGGCCTGACAGCAAAGATCCGGAAGGCCTTTCCATCTCGAGGGGTCCTCAGGCTGCAAAAGAAGGGAGAGGGGACGTTACCTGTAGAAGGAAGGCTTTCTATAGGGAGTTCAGCTGGGAAGAGAGCGCTGGGTGTCCCCCTTCCCCGTGGAGGAAGAACCATGGCCAAGGGACACTTCCCCACAGCTGCTGGAAACGGAGTCTACCCCAGCCAGGAACAGCTGGCAAATTCCATTCTCTCTGCCTGGGTCTGAATCTAGGTCAGGGTTGTTAAGTTATTTTCTTTAAACTCTGGGATTTACTGGCCCCAGTCTGTCTGAATTGAATTCGCCCTCCCAGACTTCTGCCTGATTTTTGCTAACACCTGTCAACCCCAATAGTGGCCATCTGGCGGACCGATTAGTAGGATGGCATTGTAACACTAATGCAGGTGCTGCTGTTACTACAGCGGGCACTGCGACGGCGCTCAGATTGTATGCCGAGCGCTGTGCAAAGTACTTTGTATATGCCTTTTACCTTCCTCTCCAGGTAGATGCTGTTAAGCTTCCCGTTTTATAGGCAAGGAGATTGTGCAGTCATGCCCACAATATAGCTTTAAATCATCGCAATCACCCCCGAAAGATCTTTCATGCCCATTTATAATCAATCCCTCTCCTTTTAATAACAGGGCTGTTATTAAAATGGGCCCTGGCAACTTCTGTCTCTACAGATTTGCTTATTCTGGGCCTTTTATGTAAGCAGAATCCTGCACGGTGTGGCCTTTTGTGGCTGGCTTGTTTCACCTAGCATAAAGTTTTTGAGGTTCAGCGTTGTAGCATGACTGTTACTTCATTTCTTTTTACTGCCAAGTGACATTCTTTTATAAGGATATACCACGTTTTATTTATCCATTCTTCAGCTGATAGGCATTTAGACTCTTCCCACCATCGGCTATTATAAGTAATGCTGCTATGAACATTTGTGTGCAAGTGTTTGTATGGGCATTCGCTTTCAATTCTTTTGGGTGGATACCTAGGGGCAGAATTGCTGGGTTGTGTGTTAAATGACTGTTTAATTTTTTTTAAACTGCCAAGCTGTTTTCCACAGCGGCTGCACCATTTGTCATCCCCACCGGCGATACGCGAGGGGCTCCTGTGTCTTCACACCTTGCCGGCGTCTGTTCCTGTGTCTCATGGCCATTGGTAGTGGCTTTCAGTGCACAGAGGCCTTTCTCAGGCTTTTTATTCAACTGCATAGTATTCTATTGTGCAAAGTTTTATAATATAGTTAACTGAGTCCTTTTTAATAGATATTTAGTTATTTCTAACCTTTTGTTTCCGCAAACAATGCTGCAGAGAACAAGCTTGTCCCTGACTTTTTGCCAATGTACGGAAATGCGTGAGGACGGGCTCCCGGAGGCGCACGTGCTGGATGAGACGATGCATCGTAACTTGCAGTTTGCGCAGCCCACCAAGTTACCCTCCACAAAGGTCGCGCCAACTGACAACTCCCATCAACGGCATGCGAGGCAGCCCGAGGAACCCGCAGGCTTGCCAGCACAGCGTGCCCCCTAGCTTTTTGTTCTTAGCCGATCTAAATTAGGAATGGCATCCAAATAGACTTCTAATTTGCATTTTGTTCATTAAGAATGAGTTGGAGGACAAGACGAAAGCCTGGTTGCACCTGAGGCATGATTCCCTTAGAGCTCCCTGTCCAGATGAGAGGACCCGGACTGGACATTGCTGAGCTAGACAGATGGCCTTGCCCTCTCAGGCTGCTTGGTAAGGTCAGAAATCCTTGGGGAACACGCTTCTGGGAATTCCTATTTCCCCCCCTTTCCCATGACAACCTCAGGCTTTTGGCTACCCTGGGACTGAACTTTTGAAATGTGGATCAGATAGGAGCTCTTGGCGAGATGGAGCTGTGAGGAAAGGCCAGGGGCCCAGAAACAGCAGAATGCTTGGCCCGATGGCCTTAGTGTCAGCTGTCCTTGCCGGACCCCATGGGGGGAGAGTGGCCGCGCAGGGCCTGGGTTTACCACAGCCGCCCTGCTGGTTTCTGGAAAGCTCAGGTCCCAGGGCCTCCTCAGCCTGCCAGGCTGCAAGATTTCCCTGGACGCTTTGCCCAGATGAATAGTCTGGGAGAACCACCCAGAGCCCCAAGGCGCTTGGCTCTTCCGCATGGTGGGCCAACCACACTGGGGAAAATCACCATGTTTTGTGCCTCCCCTGACTTACTACTGCAAATTCTATGGGTGGGGTGGGGGGTTCTCCCATTCCCAGGGCCCCAAACAATGCAGGGACAAGGGACCATTCAGGCTGCTGTCCCGACAGGTACCTCAAGGTTTGTCTCGCCTGGACCTATGAAGCAGCGCCACTGAACAACTCGCCCCCCTCGGAGGCAAGAGCAGGCCCACTGCCCTGGGTGTGTGGGTTTCCTGACACACCAAGCAGTGTGCCGAGGCGGCCAGCGCTGTCGGTGTGACAGTGCCAGGTGTTGGTCCCGTGCACTGCCTTAGGCAGAGAATTCCCTCACGCCTGTGTTGTTTGCAGACCCTTTAGAGGGCCCATTTGCTCACGCCTCAGATGTTTACTAAGCGAGCGTCGGTCCCTCCCAGGGAATTGACAGTTGTGCATGTTTGAAATGAATGTGATTTGAAAAATTATAACATAACCAATTTTTCTAAATCTTGCCCTCTGATTCTGTTTTTGGATTAGATTATAACTCCCATGCACATGTGAAGGGAGTGTAAATTGGCACAGCATTTCTGGGCAATTTTCATTGAAAGGCATTGAACAATTTTAATAAAGAACATTAAATAATTTTCATAAATAGTATTAAAAATCCCTCCCTCAGTTACGAACAAACTCAGCAATTTGTCTGTCGCTAAGCCAGCATTTACTGAGTGGCTACCATGTGCTGGGCACTGGGTTTGGTATTAGAGATACGAGGTTAACAAAACTAATGGGGTTCTTGCCTCCATGGAGCTTACAGCCTGGGGTGTGGGAGATAAACAGCCAAATAATGCAGATGCAATAATTTCAGAGAGTGGTGAGTCCTGGGAGGAAAATAAAATCCAGGGCAATGGGATCGCATCAGGTCAGGAGGAGGAAGGCGACTGGAGACTCAGTGGTAGGAGAATGCTTCCTCAGGGAGGTGGCGTTTGTGTGTGGGTCTGAGTGACAAGGGGGACTCAGCCATGGGGATATATAGGAGCTGGGAACATCCAGGGTTGGATAAAGCACATGCAAATGTCCCGAGGTGAGAATGGCCTTGGCATGCTCGAGGACCAGAAAGAAGGCTAGTGAGGTGGAGTGCAGCAACGAAGAGGAGCAAAACCCCAGGAGAGGGTGCAGAAGTGGGCGGGGCCAGCATCACGTGTGGCCTTGTGTGGTATGGGGGAGGAATTTTGTTCTCATTGCAATGGAAAGCTGTTGAGGGTAAGGTTTAACAGGAGAGAGACATACTGTGCATTATATAAAGAGATCAATTTGGCAGCTGTGACTAGTCTACCAAAAGGAAGTTGCCTAACGAAAGTGTCAATAAAGTACATGGGCTTGTGCAAAGATGTTCTTTGCAGTGTTGTTTATTACCATAAATAAAAGAGGAAACAACAAGAGGGCAAAGAAATGATGGTCTAGCCACACAAGGGAGCAGTGTGTATGTAGCCCCTGAAACAATGGTGTGGCCACATCGGGCAGGACTTGGAAAGACATTCACACCCTGTGGCTGACTGAAAAAAATAATTACAGAGTGATATGGGTAGTATGATCCCATTATATAAAAAAATTAAAAGTAAGGTGTTTCTGTGTAATAAGAAAAAAATTGGAAGGAAACGGAAACTTAGCAGAATGCGTATAGTTGTCCTTTCTGGGTATTGGAGTTTCGGGGATAGTAATTTATTAAAATTAATTGCAGTATTTTTGAAATTTCTCTAATCTTATTTTAAAAAGAAGGAAAAAAAGAAAGAAGGGGGAGGAAGAGAGAGGAAGGAAGGAAGGAAGGAATGAAGGAAGGAAGGAACGAAGGAAGGAAGGAAGGAAAAGGAGAAAGAGGGAGGGGAAACTGACATAAAAATTCCCCTGTATAACTTGGGAAGAAACTGAATTGGCCTGGGAAGCTTCTGGGAAGTTCCCTTTGGTTGACTTAGTTCAGGAGGAATCTCTGATCTACTTGGTGAGCCGTGACAGGGGCGCCCTGGGAAATGCCATGTCTGTAACCTCACCTTCTGATGGCCACTCAGCACTCCGCACTGCAGGCGCTAACACCTCTGTGCCCGCGGCTCTGCCCAGCACATGTGCTCGCTACAAAACAGATGCTGCCTCAGTCCTTTAAGATGTCATCCTACCCATCCAACCTTGCAGTCACCCTATGAGATCTCAAAGGTTCTTCCCACTTACAGAAGGGAACCCAGGTGCTGAGAGGTGACATAAATTACTTCAAATGCAACGCCTGTTCAGATGCAGCGGGGATATAGACTCAGGTCTGTGAAAGCTCTGGGGCCCCTTTCTAACCATTATCCTGAATGGGACGGGTTGTGGCCACACCATCCTGAAGATGCCATTGGCTAACCCAGATCACAGTGGGAGGTGTGGCGCGGATGCTGGGAGTCCCTTGGCAGGCAGGAGCCTGCAGGTCCACAGGGAGAGGCAGAGCTAAGGCTGCGTGGTGGGGCTCAGCCCCTGCCAGTGCAAAGTACTCAGGGAGGAACCGATCACCACTGGCTGCCGCATAACACAGGCTGGCTTAAAGAGAGAGGACAGCTGGCAGCTCCCGGGGCAGGGTGACCTGTCCTGGGAGAGACCGAGCAGTTGTCCACGTCATTGTTGGTGTATTTCCCAACCTCCATGTGAAATCTGTCTTAAAAAATGGCTCTGGTCTAAGAAAAATCCAGAACTGATATTCATACAGATGTCCAGCTTCTGCCTGAGACCATTTGGACAAAGCCCAGTCCCCAACATCAAAAGCTCTTTCTGATGCCCCTTCCTTCCTCTGCAGTCCTTCGTGCGCCCGTGTGGGAGAGGGAAGGGGCCTGTCCTCTGACGTTGTCTCAGTTATGCATGGTCACCTTTCAAAATTTCCAGGAAATCCTCTTCTACTACAGAAAAAGATCATTGCCTAAACAATACCACTTTGAAGCAGAGCAAACTTTGGGCCAAATGCTGACAATTCTGTTCAGGAGAGTTCTGTCGGTTTGTTTGATTGACTGAAAGATCAATCTTTCCCTGAAGATCCCTGAATTCAAAATGCAGTTTGCTGCGAACGGGTAGCAGTATGGCCAGGGCCCCCCCTCCCGTGAGACTGACTGTGACCACTCTAGGGTCCCGGCAGACAATGGGGACAGAGCCACCCTCCAGCCCTCAGTTGCTTCCCACAATCCCTCAAGGGAACAGGCTCTGGGGACATTTCTCAGCCCTGGGCTCTGTGCAGAGGGGGCTGGGTCCCATCTAAGCAAGGGGAGGATGGGGCACAGCCAGGCTGGAGGTGTCTACACGTCTGCTGCTGCCATGTCACCAAGGAGGTGCCTTTGGACAGTAAGCAGGGTCCTGCTTGATGTGCTCCGCTCCCTGCACCTCCCTCTATAACAGGAACACCCTGTGCCCTGCCACTAGAGTCATTTCTACAACGTCTGACCCCCGACTAGAGGACAGAGGTCAGGCTGCGTTTCCCGCGGGGTCCCGGTGCCCGGCACATGGTAAGGCCTCGCCAAGAGCGACATGTCCAGTGGGTGAGCGCACGTGGGAAGGGTGGATGCCAGGAGGAAAGAGTGAATTCCTGCGAGATGCCTTCTTCCTTGCACTGAAGGACAATCCGTGTAGGCCATTTCTTAGGATCAAGTCACTTGACCCTACGTGGTTTGTAACAGGCCTTAGAAGTTATGTCACAGAAGGAAGGGCCACCAAGCTTATCCGCTTTCCACGTACTGTCTCATTGCAATGTCATGGCAGCCATTTGATAGAGGAGGGACCGCGAGGCTCGAGGAGACTGCCTTCCCAAGGACAAAGAGTGCAGCAGGGTCCCAGACGCCATCGGCCCCACGTGCCCTCCAGGCCTGGCCCTCCCCCACCCCCAACCCCATATGTGTGCAGTGGACTGTCATCTTGGGGCCGTGGGCCCCGGCACACATTCTGCCACACTGTACGCGGTACAGGAATGACTCTTAGTGGCAAAATATCAAATCATGTGCAGGATTGACTATGTGTGCCAGGGACACGGTCACCTTCCCTCACCCTTGCCTAGTGGCTGTCATCCTTCCGTGTGCGTCAGGACCCCGGGGCGCGGTCACACACAGAGCCGGCTGAGCCCACTCCTGGAGTCCCTGACTCAGCAGGGCCGAGGTGGGCCCCGGGTCTGCTTTCCTAACAAGCCCCTGGTGGGTTGGGATGCTGCTGGTCTGGAGAGCCCATGCTGAGATCCCCCAAACCTTACCGCCCCTTGGTGGGTAGAGGCTATCATTTCCCCCTTTGTAGTTGAGGAAACGGAGGCACAGAAAGGTGGAGTAGCCCTCTCAAGCGGCACCCACTAACGCAGCAGAAGCTAACACCTTTCTGAACAGAGCGGCAGGCTGCAGCCATATTGTGCCTGGGAAGGGCTGCCTGGAAGATATTCACAATGACAGTGGCGGCTCAGTGGGTCTCTTGGGAACAGAGAAAGAATGACGGGCCTCCCTGGGGCAGGGGGGCGCGTAACAGTGGGAAAGAAGCCAATTCCGGGACACCCTCTCTGTGGCCTGCCCTCCCCAAACACCCACCTGTGGGGGCTGCACAATAAGCCCTTGTTGCAGCCCTGGGGGCCGCTGTTCTATCCTCAAGGATAGCACAGGCAGAGAACAAAGGCCGACCTACCACGACTGTTTCCCTTAGAACGCTCAGTAGATTGGTGTCCTGGGATTTCTTTCCAGCCCCAGCCAGGAAATTCCACCTCATCAGCTGCTTCATTTCCCTCCCATTAAATCAATGGAATTTCCCTTCATTAAGCATTTCCCAAACAAAGGTTGCAAATGCTGAGGGAGAAATTGCATGAGCAGTCAGCTCTAGCTGTACGGGGCTGATGGCAGCGACTGCGCAGGGCCCCCTGGGAAGCAATGTGTGCGATGAGTGTCCTTAGATTTTGCCAGGTCTTCACATACGGCACCTTCCAGAGGCTCCAAAGTGCCCCAGGAGGACGGGAAGGCGGGGACAGGCACCAAGCTCCATGTAGTCATGAAAGCTTAAGCTTCAAGGGGCCTTAGCACGTTTTATGTCCCTGTCTCTATGGCTTTTCTAAAGAGGGCCCCTCAAATGTAACATCTTCAGCACTCCCCTCTGTTACGGGCTGAATGGTGCCCCCTCCCCAGCTCACACACTGAAGTCCCCACCCCCCAATACCCACAGAGTGTGATGGTATTTGGAGATAGGGCCTCTAAAGAACTCATTGAGATGAGGTCACTATAGTAGGTCCTGACCCAATATGACTGGTGTCCTTATACAAGGAGCTGGGCATCATCTCAATTAATTCCCCCAACCACGCTATGAGGTAGAGACTATTATTATCCCCATACCACAGGTGAGAAAACAGAGGCTCGAAGAAATCAGGCTGCTCACTCAAGGTCACGAGGCTGGTAAGAAGCAGAGCCTAGATCTGTTGGACTCCACACTCTCTGCCCTTATTTATGCAACACTATGCAACTACATTATTATATAGCCACATATAACCACTATTAACTATAATTTGATCCCACCGTTTTCTGGGGGAGGATGGAGGAGGGTGTGCGGGAAATAGAGGGAGGCAGGCACCCACACATGTAGAAAAGGGATCAGAGGGACACGCAACACAAATCTAATAATAACTCTCCCAGTTGATAGGTTATGGATGTCTGTTTTTCTATGGACTCATCTGATGTTCCTAATTTTTCTAAAAAATCATGCATTGGCAACAGAAAGATAAAAGTTCATATTTTGAAAAAATAAAGGAAGAAGAGAGAGCAGGCTTCGCCTAGGTGTTTTGGTAGGAATTCCTGCAAGTCTGCCCAAGTTTCATTTTAAAGGGCACCACCTTGGGCCCTCCTGCCAGGCCCCCCAGGCGCCACCCCTGCGGGCCTTGAGGGTCAAGAGTTGGAAAACACAGCCCTACCTTTCAGACTGGACCCCATTCCTGAGCGAGCCCGCGTACGTCTTCTTTTTATCAATGGGCATCACATCCACATAGCCCCCACTCTCGTTCCTGATGACTCCCGCGTGCACGGCGGTCTTACAGATGCTCGATGTCTGAAAGCACAGGAAGAGCTGCGATCAATGTCAAGGAAATCAGGTTCCTGGATGAAGATCAGCCCCCTACTTGGTGGCCAGGCTGGTGGATGTTGGCCACATCAGTCACAAGGAAATGACCATCGCCACCTTGAGTGCTTACTGGTGTCTCCAGAGAGACAGATCTTCCTCCCTCCCTTCCTTCCTTCCACAAATATTTTCTGAGCACCCACTATGTGCTGAGCACTGTCCTAGATGCAGGCGTATTCCACAGGAAACAAAATAAAGACCTTGTCTTCACAGAGTGGAGGGAGACAGACAAGTAAAGAGACACCAAAACAAGTAACTCAGGCTATGAAAACACAAAATCAGATCATGAGATAACATGACTGAATGGAGGGGGCAATTTTAGAACAGTTAACCAGGGAAGACTGTTCTTGATAATAATATTTGAATTTAGACCTGAGTTACAAAAAGGAACCAGCCACAGCCATGGAATATCTCTGGGTAGGGGAGCATCCTAGGCCAAGGAGGCAGCTTGTGCAAAGGCCCTGGGGCCCTGCCCAAGGAACAGAAAGCGAGCCAGGGTGGCTGAGTCAGGCAGAATGTGGCAGGAGGCATGGGAGATGTGACCAGGGGCCAGTCGTGCAGGGCTGTGAGGACCACAGCAGGGGTCTGAATTTATTCTAGGTGCCAAGGGAGCTGCTGGGTTGCAAGCAGGGGCAGGGTGCGCTGTTTTCTAAAGTTATCACGTAGTCCAGGTCCTGGGTAATAAAACCTTTGAGTCAAACATTCATTAGGACCTTAACTTATCCAATAGAAAAATGGGCTGGGTTATCTGAGAGTAACAAATCAACATTTCTTGCATTCATTCAGGGGTGGGGTGGCCGGTGTTTGCTAAAGATGCAGGCTCCTGGGCCTCACTCTGACCTACAGACTCAGAGTCTCCCCAGACAGGGGCCGTGCGAGTCCAGTGTACACTTAAGGTTAAGACCCAGGTAGGTAACACCCTTGTGCTTCTTCCACGACCCTTTCTTCTGGCCTGTGCTAAAGCCCCACACCAGCCTTGGCAGTGGGTCCCTATCTTCACTGTGACTCAGAGCCACCTGCAGCGCCTGATGACAATGCCTAGGTCCCCCTACCCACCCCTCCCAATCCCACCGAATTCAGTTGCTCTGGGCTGAAGCTCAACTCTCAGTTATTTTAAACTGCGTAAATTTTTAGAAAGTCGGGGATACTTGTTTACAGGAAATAGAGTAGCCCACAGAATGGCCCCAGTGACATCTAATGATGTGCTCAGCCAGGCTCATTGAGTCACCACTCAGTCTAGTTCAGCAATTTGCCAACTTAAAGATAAAAAGTCAGACCTGGTATGTGCAGGGCAGGAGGGCTGACTCCTGTCCTGCCTTCGCTCGCGGCCTAGTGACCTGTGGCCACCACAGGGGCTTTGCCTGTGGACTCCGTGTGTGTCGAGGGTAGGCGGGGGGACGGGGCAGGTTAGCTGTGCTTTATGCCATCCTGTGTGATGCATGGCGGCGAGGACAGAGGCCTCTGCCAACCATGTCCTGACTGGGAAGACTTAAACCCCGCCAACGCACGGGTCACTCAGCAGGAGGGTGGGTCTGGGCTTTGCTGTCTCTTCACGTCCCCCACCTGCACAGTAGTCACCCAATCATCACCTGTGGGGCAACTACGGTCCCGACAGCTGGTTAGCCAAGCTAGCACCTCCTTCGTGAGGAGGGCAAGACAGAGAAGTCAGATCCTGCAGGATTCCACTTACAGGAGGTATAAAGAAGAATCAACTTCACAGAAACAGAGAGCAGAACAGAGGTTACCAGGGGCTGGGGGAGGGGAGGGGGAGTTGCTGTTCAGTGGGTGCAGAGTTTCAGATCTGCAAGATGAAAAACCAGGGGTCTGTTACCCAACAATGTAAATGTACGCAACACTACTGAAACTGTGCACTTAAATATGGAAAAGAGGGAAGTTGCATGTTTTGTATAGTTTATACCACAAGAAGAGAAAGAGATAAGGAAAAAGGGAGGGAGGGAGAGAGGGAGGAAAGGGAAAGGGAGACAGAGACAGAGGCAGAGAACGCTATACCCAAGCCTAGAGAAGGATGTTTTCTAGAAGTAATCAGTGCACCCCCAGAAGTGGTCAGCAGGCCCCTGACCCCTGGCACAGTCCTCCAAGTTCCTTTGTCCCCCTGTCCTTACCACTGTCCCTGATCCATCTGTGTTTCGAAGATATGCCCTTAACTGCCCTTTGAATGGGACAAGCAACCCATCTAGCAGGGGGTCCTAACACCGGACAGGAGAAAATGGATCAGAGTGGGTTCTCTGAAAATTCGAGATATCACTGAGCGCGTTACTGCTCAGTACCCGCAGCCCACTCGAAGACCGAAACACGCTCTCTCAAGGGCCGTGCCCTTCGGCTACTGCCCCGGCCTTCAAACACCAGGCCATTCGAGGAAGTTGCTGATTTTGCGCAAGAAGAAAAATGCTTCGTAGCAGAAGGCCGCCCTCCTGACTGTTCCCTGGGAGGTTGACACTGCTGTGAAAAAGGTGGAGAGCCTCTGCCCTGACTCATGTGGTTCGGTTGGTTGGGCATCGTCCGCAAAGTGAAAGGTTTGCCAACTCGATTCCAGGCCAGGGCACACGCGGGTTCGGTCCTGGCTGGGACACATATGAGAGGCAACTGATCGATGTTTCTCTCCCTCTCTTTCGATTACCCTGGAGGTCAGTTTTTTAAATCCTGCATGAACACATCTCATCTTCTTCAATAAATAAACAAATGAGGTCAGGGTTCCTTAGCCCAAAGTGGACTCCAAGGGATCTGTGAGGCCTTGAAGTTGCAGGCAGAACTCCGGGAGCCTATAGCGTCAGCAAGAACTTTCCTGCGGGGAGGGGGGTTAGTGTTCACACAGGAACCGCCCCCCCACCCCCTGCCCAGTCCCAGGCCCTGTCCAGGGAGCTATATACTTCTGATTGTCGCCAAGAAGTGCTGCACCCTCTGTGACGGTCCTTTGCCTCCGGCTCCCAGAATGTGTCTGGATACCAGTGGCACTGGAGTTTTTTGCGATAACATCAAGCCATGGGTCATCCCTGTGCAAACTTCCCACCGGGCCCGATCTTTCTCACAGGATGGGCCCGGTGTTCATCCGTTAGCGTTACACACATCTTCAACCCTGATATCGGGCAAACATTTTTCTTCCTGTTGTGCCCCCCTTTCTCCCACACCTCTCTTCTCACTGAGCCTCCATAAAGGTGTAGGGTGCCCATTTTCTCTCCTCAGGGCCCCACGTAACATGAATATCTGAATATTTATTAATAACTGTTATCAGCAGAGATCTGGTCTCAGTGAGGCTGGAAACCAATCCTGCCTCCACCACTTGTTGCCCGTGTGGCCTTGGATGACTATTCTAAGCCCCAGGGTCTCTATTTTCTTTCTTTTTTATTTTAAGATTTTATTTATTTATTTTTAGAGAGAGAGAAAAGGAGGGAGAGAGAGGGAGAGAAACATCGGACCAGTTGTCTCTTGCACGCCCCCAACCAGGGACCTGGCCCATAACCCAGGCATGTGCCCTGACTGGGAATCAAACCGGCAACCCTTTGATTCGCAGGCTGGCACCCAATCCATGGAGCCACACCAGCCATGGCATCTATTTTTTAATATAAAATGAGGCTCATCATAGCTAACATTTTTGAGTGTTACCAAGCAGGCCCTGTTCTAAGTGTTTCATATGCATTAATATAGTAATCTCCCAATAACCTTGCAAAGTAGGAATTATTATTATTCCCTCTTAACAAATGTGCAGGCTGAGGTTCAGGGAGGTTAAGCAGCCTGCCCAAAAATACTCTGCTGGCAAAGAGCAGAGCCCCGACTGCCACCCCGAACCAGCAAGCGGTACACTACATAAAAGGGCTATTGTGAAGATGAAGTAAAATCAACGGCTGAATGTGGGCTTGTACACAGTAACATACTAACATCAAGAGATGTTAGTTAACAAAACAAATACCACCACCATAATCATTACTGTCACTGTCACCATCATTGAAAATTCTCAAGGAACTGTCATCTCTAAGCCAATCATCCTAAAAGAGTCGTCCCAGACCAGCAACAGGAGCATCACCACGGACCTTGTTGGAAATGCAGATAGTCTGGCTCTACACCAGGCCTACTGAGTCAGAAATGCTGGAGGTGGGGCGCGGAAATCTGTTTGAACAAGCGCTCTGGGGGATTCTGATGCACGTCCAAGTATGAGAATTAATCCAGCCACCAAGGGAGATAGGAAGGACAGATAAGAAAACTGAGGTTTGGGGGAGGTGGGGCTTGCCTACCATCCTTGGACTGGTAAATGTCACAGGTGGGGCTTGAACTCGTGTCTTCTGACCCAGACTTTGCTCTTTGGGCTACACCCTGATGATTCCCCTGCGTGCAACTCACCACAAAGAGAGGGGTCTGCCAAGTAATGCACTCTGGGTGAGCAAGCAAGGACTACAGCACTATTAGGCCCTTCGAAGATCTGGAGACAACTCTCCCAAAATAAATCTCTTAGCTAAACAGACATTTTCCAAAAGGCATCATCATTTCCCAGAATACAGAGTGACCTAGAAACCAAAGCCAGAAAAGAACCTCTGAAATGAGGGTAGCTTTCTTCTTTCCCTCCTTCCTTCTTCCCTCCCTGTCTCCTCTTCTCTTTTTCTTTCTCCCTTTTCTCCTTCCTTCTTTTACTTTCTGAAGAACTGTTTAAGCATTGACTACTGTAGTATCTTCATTTATTTATTCCTTCAACAAATGTTAATTGAACACTTGTGTGCCAGGCCCTGCCATGAGCACTGTGGTTCCAAAATCTCAAAACTCAAGAGAATGAGTTAGTTAAAGACTTCATACAGCTTTTCGCTGACATGCCATTTAACAGCAATGTAATTATGAACACAGGCACATTCAAGCAAAGCAGAACAGAGTATGGAATGAACAGAGCCTAAGGCAAGACACACCTTCATTGGCATCTCACCTCCGCCATGTACTAGCCTGTGTGATTTGGGGCAGGTTATTCTGAGCCTTACTTTCCTTTTCTGTAAGATGGGGATAACAAAACCTAGAAATGGCATTTTTAAAGAACCTAAAACATAGTGAAAGGGAGCTTTATGTTATTACTAAATTTCCATCAAGTTCTTGCATTTCTAACCTTTTGGGGGAGTCGTTTTATATGTTTAATTGCTTTGTTGTTTAGTGCATATAGATTTAGTTTTCATATCTTCATAGATATGATACCTTTGTCTCATTGCATAATTAATTGTATTGTCCCACTCAGTATACTTAACCTTCAATTCCACTTTATAAGAGAAATATTGCCATTCCTACTTCATTTGTTTGTTTCCTTATATTTGGCTGGAATCACTTGTCCCATCTCTTTATTTTTAAATAATTTAAAAATCCAAGTCTCTGTCTTTTAATAGCAGACTTTAGTTCAAACATATAGTGTTACAATTGAGATATATATAATTTTACTCCTTTATTAAACTTTTAGAACTCAATTTTGGATGAACAGCTTCTGAGGGGGAAAAAATGACTCATTTAAAGAGGGGAAAAAAAGATGAGAAAAAGGTTAGCCATGAGGGTGCTTTGACCTTACAGAACTTAGTGTTCTCACATTTACAGGAATCTGGAACAAATGAAGGCAGATGGAGGCAAAGGTGGTGATGGTGAGTGAGATAAGCCACAAAAATAAAGATGAGAAAAGGTGGAGTAAAAATGCCAGCTAGGGATGAGTGATGCTAATCTAATTATGGAAATTTAGATCTAGAAGGTTCCCTGAATTAGAAAATTAGAAAATCCCAGCTGACTCATTTAACAGTGAAGTAAATAGCTTGGCAAGATCACATAGCTTGTTGGGGAGAGCAGTGACCAAGTTCATATCTTCTGGGTCTCCATGTTGCTAAACCCTGGCAGCTGAAGGGAACAGACTATGTTCTTGAGGATTTACTTAAGGAAAATCAGGCTAGAGCTTCCTTGCTAAAGTTAGGAGGGAAATATGGAAAAACAGGCTCCCATATAATAAGAATGGTTGTTAACAAGAAGAAAATTAGTGTAATTTGTATTTTCTTCTGTGTGCTAATAGCTAAGTATATATATGGCCTAAAAGAAATGCAATGAGTCGAGTGGACCAATATCTCTAAATGCATCAGGAGAGCTGGAAAGGTCATTAAATATCTGGGGAAATTATGCAAGACAGTTTTCATATTAAAAATGTGTGTCAATAGGGAAACAGGATTCAATTTACCGAACTATGAAAATGTTTGCGTAAGATGAGGCACACCTGCATCCGTATTCATAAGCATGCATAGGTAGTAGTACAAATATCTCTATAAATGGGAAACTAGGGCAATAGTTTCAGAAATAACTGGTCTAAATTTAGTTGGAGGTACAGGAATGAGATCTTGGGTTTCTGGTATCCAGACCTTGGGACGTGGTTTCTGAGGTCTTAACAGGCTTTGAGAGGTGGTCATTGAAAATGCCAGCATACTCACGTCTGCGTAGATGTTGGTTCCAAACACAGGAGCCCAGTAGGACGGCTCGTCTTTGCAGTGTGCTGGACAATGAACTCTGAAAAATCAGAAGCATTTGTGTGATGGTTATGAGAAGCAGCTGGCCCTCTTTATTTGAATTTCAAGATTTAAATTCTTAGATGAAAGGAAACTACCACACTGCTAACTCTTTAAGGAAAAAAAAACACTTCTCCCATTCTAGCAGTAGTAAAGATATTTTTCCTCTTCTTAAGTAGTTCATATAGAATTTTTAAATGCTATACAAAAAGACACAAGCAAACAATAAGATGAAAGGGAATAAATATCTAAGAGAGGCGAGTATGGGATCGTGAAATGTTGTACCTCCCATTCTTGGGTGTTGGCCAGTTCATCCTGTGGATACATTATGGAGATTATAATCAATAGACTTTTTGAAAGGCCACTTCCCTGTGTGGGGGAGGAAAGGGTGGAGGGCCCTCACCTCAATGAGTCACAGAATATTCCAGGGAGATGGCGCTGATAACCTGAGGCAGGGGTTAGGTCACCGCGATACCAGTCACCACATCCCTGCCATTGGCATAATGGAGATGAGAAGAATGCCTCAAACTGGAAATGGGTGGGCCCAGAAAAGACATGAACTTTACTGAAGAAAAGGTCTGTTGTCTTTATCTGGAACAGTACACCAAGGGCTGGAGCCCAGGGATCAAGAAACCAAAATGGCACCCGGAAGCCATCTGGCCCCAAGACAGGCAGGATTTGGGGAGGAAAGAAAACCAGGCAAGAGGATTAAAAAATGGAAATGATGCCAGAAGGGGGTGGGGGTGGGCAGAGCGAAAGAGAATGCATGTGTGTGAGAGATTTAAAAAAAAAAAAGAAAACAGAATTTAGGTAAGAATGAACGTAGGTTCCTAAATCTTCTAGAATGGCAGGTCAAAGAGCTAGATTTTGGGTACTAGTACTATGTCAAGTTTTTCTTTTTGTTTGTTTTTGTTGAAATCATTTCCTTCAGCTTCTCTTTAATATTTGGGGAAATCTACTGAAAGGTTATTATCCCCACCTGAACGTTTGGGGCGGGGTCAGCGAGGCGGTGGTGGTGGTTGTGGCCGGGGTAGGGGCAGAGCCAGTTAGAAAGCCTCCAGGTGAAGGCGAGTAGCAAAGGGGAGTCAGGGACCCCATGTCCAGTCTCCTCCCCTTCATGGGCTCCCTCCTGGGGCTATTATCTGCTCTCACCTCAGGGGTCTCCATCTATTAGTTTTAAGATCAGTCTTTCCCTTGGAGAATCTAGAAGCTTCCCGGCCCAGGATTAGAGTTCATAGGATGCTACATATACTACCCAGCTTCTGAGGGGCCCTAATGGCTACTTCAGAGACAATTGCTACAAGGACACTCTTTATTTTATGTTATAATGCATCATTCTTTAAAATCAGTCAAGTAAGTTTTGAAAGATGCACGTGAAACTTAAGTCCCTAAACAAATTGTGGTATATCCACAGAATGGAACACCACACAGTGACATGAAAGAATAAACCAGATATGCTCCACAACATGAATGAATCTCAAAAGCATGCAGAGAGAAAGGAGACCAACACGAAAGTCTACATACTGTGACGGCTCCATTTATATAAAATTCTAGAAAAGGCAAAATCAGAGGGACAGAAAGTAGATCAGTGGTTGGTGGGGATGTGGGTAGGGGATGGAGGGGAGGGACTGATCGCAGGGAACATCCTGGGGTGATGAAAATGCTCTCCATCTTGATTGTGGCCGTGGTTGCACAATTGTGCGCAGACGTCAAAACACATTGATTTGTACACTTAGGTGTATAGTGGGTGAATTTTGTGTGCAAATTATACCTCAAAAACTGGGTTTTAATAAGCTCTTCCTAAAGTGAGCCATTAGAAAATGTCACAGATCCAGTAGAAGAATGAACGAGCTGATTTAAATGGGACAAGCAGCGCACAGCTTTCAGAGTTCTAGATTGATCTAAGAGATCAAAAACTGACAAATCTTTAGGTCTGCCTGACGGGGCTTGGTCCAGTGTTGTCCTGTGAGTGGAGGCAACCTCAAGTGGACAGAGTCATTTCTCAGCTAAGTTCCCAGAGCAGGGTTCCCGGGATCAGTTGCCCACTGGGCTCACCCAGTAGCATCTAAACCAGCTGGCCCCCTGCCTCTGCCCCACTCCCAAAAATTCACCTTTCAGTGATCCCCAGGAATTTGTGCTTTTAACGCCCCCTGGGCTACTGCAATGCACAACCAGGGTTGTGAACCAGCGGACTTGGGGAAGGTCTAATGGACCCTTGACTTTGAACATGAATTGACTGACTTCCTGGGTATACACATACAAGGGCCATTCCTGGAATTCCATTGTACTTCACTGCCAGGAGATGACCCCCAACCCAGCGTGGCACCTTCTTCTCTCAGCCCCCATGTTTGCAAAGCCTGGTGCCCATGAGACTTACCTTGGGCAGTGGGTCCCTGGCTTCTCATATGGGCAGAGCTGAGCGACGGTGGTGTAGCAGTCCAGGTCTTGCACTGTGAACAGGAACCATCAGGAAAGGGTCAGGTGATGTGCAAGCCTGGGCCTTGGGCTGCTGGCCCATGCAATGGGCTGTTAGACAACTGGGTCCTGGGGGTTCACTGAGCCCTCCAACAGAGCTGGGGTAAGAACTCTGCCCAGTTCTCTAGCCACTCCACTGAAGACCACTCAGCGGATGAGACAAAACCCATGTCTGAGTGTGTTTACTGGTCAAGGGTGCTACCAGCCACAACAGCTTCTCTGTGGATTGAGAATACGTTCATTTGCATGGTGCTTTTTGATTTTGAAACCTTTCTCCTACTTCATCATGTTAGAGCCTCATGGCAGGTATTATTCTAATTATACAGATGAGAAGACTGAGGCTCAGAGGAGCTGAGATCTCACAGGACATGGGTGAGAACCCAGGTTTACAATTCCCAACCTAGAGCTCTTTCAAAGGAGGCCAGCGATGCTTTTCTTAAAAGTCACGTGTTCTGTTTAAACAACAGATGTAAGAAAGCGGTTCTAATACTGACCACCTGTTGTCTCTGACAGCATGCCCTCATCTAGTCCAGAGCTGGGCAAACTCTTTCTTAAAAGAATAGAGAGTATGTCCTGGTTGGTGTGCTCAGCTGATTGAGCACTGGCCTGCGAACCGAAAGGTTACTGGTTCGATTCCCAGTCAGGGCACATGCCTGGGTTGCAGGCCAGGTCCCCAGGTGGGGACGTGTGAGAGGCAACTGATCAATGTTTCTCTCGCACATCCATGTTTATCTCCCTCTCTTTCTCCCTCCCTTGTCCTTTCTCTAAAAATAAATAAAATCTATTAAAAAAAAACACACGGAGAGTAAATATTTCCAGTTTTGTGGGCCCTATGGTCTATGCTGCAAAGAAACTGGCCATAGACGATGCATAAATGAATGGGCATCGCTGTGTGCCAATAAAACTTCGTTTACATAAACAGCCGCAGGAAGGAAGGATTTGGTCTAAGGAAGTAGTGACTATAGCATGCTCTCCCATGGGTGCATTCCACCCTACCTACCAAACGGACACACCTATTGCCCCTTGTCCATGGCAGACATTAGTAATCTATCAAGTTCTATTTCCTGCTGAGCCCAGAGCGAGGCCTCAGCACCCATCTCAACACAATGTTCCAGGTGGCCACTATCAATCGATAGAAATTGTCACTCCCTGTGCCACCTACTGGGTACTGTAGACCCAGGCGTTGGTATTTCTGTGACATTCAGCTGGAACGCCAGGCCTGTGTTTCTGATTTAGCACTCTAGGGCCAATGCCAAGTTCGGATATGTTTAGGAACTATTAGACAATCGGCCTCCTCAGAAACCTCTTATGAAAGCCTTTATAATGCCTAGAACAGCAATGTAGGCAGGCAAGAGAAACATTAAATCAACAACTAAGGGGAATGAAATTTCCAAGGAAGCCCGAGATAGCCCATGTATTATGGTCACACACACGCACAATGAAAGACTGCCAGCTTACCTTTTACTTTTGACACCGTGAATGAGCTGGACGCCTTGTATTTGCTATGAAAGGAAACATTAGGTAGATGTAAACAGAATGGCTTCCACGAGGGCACACTTGTTCCTACATTTACTTTATTTACAGCCTCAATTTAACATTTTCCTACTCGTCTCCCACCAGCCGGACAGCCTTTAGAACATCTAGAGCAGAATCCAGAATGAGAACTTTCTAGGGCTCAGCGCACTAACTTCTTTGTGCCAAGGCCCCCTCAGGCAGCCTGATGAAGCTTATGGCCCCCTTCTCAGAGTGGCAATTTTAAAATGCATATGATAAATTGGAAAGATTAAAATAAAATCAGTTACTATTCATATCACTATCAGAGTATTAAAACAAAGAAGCATTTGAGTAATAGTCACGCTTCTTTACTAAGGCAGAGAAACTGGCCCAAGGTCATGCACAAGGAAGAACAGAGACAGGTCTGTCTGACCCCAGGACCCCCATTGGGCTGTATGATCCCAGGTCACTTTGGCCTCAGTTTCCATAGACAGCCCAAGACATAGCCTATTCACAGCTCCCCAAGAAATCGGAATGGCAAGAACCGTCTGGCCCATCAACCAGCCACATACCTTATGTGAAAAACATTATCTTGCACAAAAACATAAGTATGTTTAAAAAATGAAAAGCCTCATTCTTAGAAAGTAATAAAAAGTGCTAATCCAGAATTAGCCTATAAACTCAAAGATACCATCAACTGTTAATGATAACATGTCTGATGAGTTCTTGCAGACTAGGAAGGAAGATAAAGCAGAAGTTGAAACTGAACCAAATTAGAGAGGGGGAGCATGAGGTGGGGAGGGAGAGAGATAAAGGCGGGGGGGAGAGAGAGAGAGAGAGAGAGAGAGAGAGAGAGATGGATGACAGAGAACCACCAGAATGAAATATGCTGAACTATCTATGGGGCCATTTCTGAGTTACAGGATTAAGATCATGTCTATTTTTTTTTCCTTGCTCTTTACATTGTTCAATACTTTTCAAGGTTTCCAGATATTTTTATAAGTAGAAAAAATTTTAAGGAACCCCGATCACAGAATAGTTACCTCAAAGACTCCATGCCGTTTCTCTCAGACTTGACGAAAAAGGGGACCCTCCCGTTCCTGGTGATGTCCACCAGGCCTCCTCTGTTGTCTAGGATCCCATAATGAATGGCAGCACGGCATATGCTGGACGCCTGGGGGCACGGATGGGGGGGAAGACCATAAGTAGATCTGAAGTTGTCTTTGTCAGCAATCATCAGCAATACCCAAGGTATTTGTCTTCAACCCACAAAAAGCCAAAAAGTGGGGCCAAAGTTCACCCCACCTCTGACTCTGCTTCTCTCTAGAACACATCTTTGTTCCTGGGGTTGCTTATCTTTACAAAAATCCATCAGAGGTGCTTTACAAACTGAGAGCAGTGACAAATGGCCCTTTCTCCCCAGGCAGTGGAGCATGTTAAAGCTCTGTCTAAACTGGAGACTGAGCTTTGAGGGCTGGCCCCAGGGCCCGAAAGTGGCTTCCCAAGTTTGTGAGCCCGTGAATGCTCACAGATCATCTCTATGAACTTTAAGGCTGGGCGAGGGAGGAGAAAGGAAATCTTTAAAAACACATGACAGCATTCCACACAGCCATTTAAAGGAACACGAGCCACACTTACACTTTCATAAAAGAGAGTTCCAAACACTTTTGCTTTGTTGTTCAGACAGCCTGCTGGGCACTGGTACCTGATGGAAAAGAAAGAAATGACTTTCACAGATAAACATGATTCAATATCATCTTGACATTATCATTTTTTTTTCTTCAACAGCTTTATTATTACACACAGAAAAGCTTCAGTGAGGTAGAATCCATCATTTTCTGGCAAGTCCCACGTCACCCAGGCTGAAGTTTATAGTCACATGAATACAATCACAAGATTGAATTGACTTTCATGGGCTTAAGATTTGGGTTTAAGGCAGAGACATGAATAGATGAGCAATTCACAGAAGAAAGACAAGTGGCACCCAAACACTGAAAAAAAATTCCTCAAACATTGTCATCAAAGAAGGCAAACTGAAAGAAAGTGCCATTTCAAGGTGTCAAATTGAAAGGGTTTGTGTTTGTTTGTTTGTTTGTTTTTAAATAGAATAAAACAATGATGTTGTTCATGTTCATAAAAAGGTATAAATTAATCTTTGCAGAAAGCCTGAAATCTGTTGATTCTTGAATTTCCCTGTAAGTGTATATCCAAAGAAAAAAGTCAGAAAGCCAGAACCACATGTTATTCCAACTGTTTATAATTGTGAAAAAGTGGAAGTAAGCCAGCAAGTGCCAAAAAAATGGCCAAACATGTTTGTATGGCCGTATGTCAGGGTGTTATGCAACCACCAGAGATGAAGTTTTTCAGGAATATTTTCTGACTTTGGAAAATCGTAAGTGAAAACAATGACACATAAGATCACATAAGCAATATTAGCCCAATCAGTGCTTTAAAAAAAGATTGGAACTACACTAAATTGCTGCTGATATTGAGAAGTTTCTAGACACTTTTTTTCCTTTATATTTTGTTGTGGTGCTTGTTTTCCTGAGTTACAATAAACAAGAATATTTTTTAAAGTCAGAACATAAGCCCAGTAAATATTATTTTTGTACAAATACTTGGTACAGAAAAGGCATGTGCCAGGTAGTGACACAGCTTCTAGGTGAGTTGCTGTGCACACTCCGGCATTTGCAGGTCACGGTGAGTTATGTTCCTTGACCAGAGGCCTCTAACAATCTTGGCATAGACGGGCCCTTGCCTTTTCCCTGCCTGGGCAAGGTCGCATCTGCTCCTGACTCTGGAACACTCTTGATGCTGTCTCACAAGGGATAATCTTTAAGCCTTGTCATTCTTTTCCACTGAGTACTCAGGCATGATGCTATCGTAATGAGTTTGTGGGACAGAAAGTCACATCATCACAAAGGGACAACTCAGGAGCGTCCCCAAAATCCTAGAACCACGAGCTTGCCGAGTAGATATCCCTTCAGACTCTTGAGTGTTTTCTGCCCAATTCACCCAGCACACACAGAGATGTGCAAATGTCCCCAACATTGTGCAGGTGACAGTTATTGCACCACTCATCACTGCCACATCTTGTTTATCTCACCAACAAAATCACTGTTTACTTTGCAGTACTTGCTGGCCTGTTTCCAGCTGCACATGGGATGATGTCTGAGACTCTTGAACGACCTCATCCTGGGTTGCACCGAGTCCATTTCCTAACACTCCTGCCAAAGGCTGAGCTGAACACTTTAGCAAACCCAATTCCAAATCCCTGTGGTGTAAAATAGGACCCGCTACCTTCTCTTTTTAGCATGTGCTTTAGATGATGCGATTCAGCGTTTGATGAATGAGTGCCAGAGTCCATAGGAAGACTAGTAAGGATTCCTCTACCAATGACAGTGGTTTTCCTACCATGAGCCTGAGGTTCTGCATGAGGCTGCTGCACCTGTTGGCCATTCACTGCCAGAAAGCGCAGCCCAGCAGCTGCATTGCCAAAACCAAACTCCTTCTTGGCAGACATTCTTCAACATCCCAGTGGACAATACCCAATGGCTCCATCAGCTAGATGAATTCATTCAACTACATGGGCTACACTGGCAGAGGCTCTCCCTCCACGGGGCCCATCAGGAAGCTGATGTACTCAGATTCCGCAGCAGGCTCGCTGTGTCCCCCCGTGGCCAGGGCGTGGCCGGCCCACATGTGTCCTAACAGCGCCCTGGCCGTAGTCCTCCCTGCACAGAGCTCCGGGCCACCCCGGGACTCCCACGCAGAGGGTGGAGTGGAGTCCCCAGCTGCACAAAAACATTGGTGGAGATCTTCACATCTGCAGCACTTCTGCTGTGTGTCCATGTGGCACTTCTACCACTTGGAAATTCCTTTTGAAACAATAACACAGAGCATCTGTAATCTGAACATTTCCTCCCCACAAGGGATGAAACACTTAACAGCAATATATATCCAGGCAGGAGAAGACCCAGGGCCAACCCTCTAGGTCAAAGGTTATCATTTAGGGGTGATCTTAACCCTGAGGGGACATTGGCAATTTCTGGACATTTTTGGTGATTACAACTAGGGAGATGCTCCTGGCACCTAATGGGTAGAGGCCAGGGATGCTGTTCAACTTCCTACACTGTACAGAACAGTGATCCACAACAAAGGACTGCCTGGCCCCAAGTGTCAGCCGTGCCAAGGCTGAGAAACTCTGGTCTAGGTTGACAGAAATGGGTCATCTGTCTGTACCAAGATCTTAATAAAGGGTGGCATTCAGTGGGAACTCTGGTCAGTCTAATTTATGGCACACAGCAAGATGAGTTACCTCCCCACTCTAACTTTGGTGCACACTGTTGTTGCTAAAAGTAGAGAATATCATTTTTTTTTTCTGAGTTTCTACCCAGCTTGCTTTGGTGGCCATGAACTGACTGATCATGACGTGACCCAAAACCCCCAGCAGGTGCTTCAAAGGGCTGTCGGGAGTGGTGAGGGAGGGATCCAGCCCAGGCCTTACCTGTTGCACGTGGACCCTTTGCATTTGTCCTTCATCTTGGTGTCACACCTGACAACTTGGGCTAGGAGAGAAATGCAGAAATGTACATCACTGCAAGAATCCAGAGGATGAACATGCAGTAGAAAACCTCACCCCCCACTCTGAGGAACTTTCTGGAACATTCTGGAACCCATTCCATATAAGAGCAGAAACACTGCCCAATGGCTGCAGGCTTCAGGGGTTAAGGTTCGAATTCCACGTCTGCCACTTTATAATAGTCATGTGGCATTGGACATGTTACTTCCCCTCTGAAGTTTAATTTCTTCATGTGAATAATGGACATAAATATAGTGAGTACTGTTCCTGTGAGCATTAAATGAGAAAGTACATGTAACCTTGGAAAGGAGTCTGGCACACACTAAGTGCCCTCTAGACCCTCAGGGATCTAGAGAACAGGCCTCAGAAGCCTTATCCAGCCTGGGAAGTGAGGACCCAGGTATTTCCACCTGTGTGGTCCACCCCATAGCCAAGGTGACTTTACTGAGCTTTTGTTTTCACTGTTTATTTTATAGGGACATATCGAAATCTTGGAGTAGAATTACGGTTCGACAAAAAAGACTTCTATTATAATTTTACATTATTAAAAAAAACCCACTGGAACTGTTTCAAACTTCTGGACAGAAAAGAGCACCACCATATTTCCTGGTCCAAGAAGCCACAGGATGGTTAAACGGGCAGAAAGACTGGGGAAAAGGCACTTGAAGCCCAAGAAGATAGAGTGACTGGTGGGGCTGGGGGAGAGAGTAGCTGAAAAAATAGGGGATGGTTTCTGAGCAAAACAGGCACAAGGAGGGCCTACTCAGGGGTGAGTCCAGTTTCACGCTGTTTAAGGCTCAGGGGAGAATCAAAGAGAACCAGAACCGCAGGCAGTCAGCCGCGCCTGTTGCCATGTCTGTAAGAAAGGGCCCCAAACTTGCAGTGAAGGCGCCGTGTACACAAGTGCCCAGCCGCAGTGTCGGGGAAATCAGAACGCTGGGCTCTAGCCAGGGCGGAGAGAGAAGAAAGAAGAAAAGCCTTGGGAGGTGAGGGGCCCTGGGAACCAGGGGAGGGGAAAGCACAACAGGTTAGCTTGAGCATCTTCTGGGGACTTCCAGATGTCTGGGGAAAACATTCAGCCCCCGCCCAAGGGGGCTGTTTGAGGCAGCCCAACGATCTCAAAGCACAGGGAGCCCTCCGCTGACACAGGGGGCCCACAGCACCGCAAATAATCCCCAGAGCAAGGTCGTATGATTGTCCCATTTAATGGATGAGCAAATCACGTCTCAGAGAGTCAAGTGACGTGGTGAAGAAGGACTGCAGCTCACAGGAGACAGCCCGCACCCTGCATGTTCTGTCCTCTCCCTTGGGCAGCTCAGTGCTCCCAAGTGCAACCCAATTTCAGCCCCGGTTTTCTTTGAAAGGATAAGGTCTGACCTTAAAATACCTGTCTCAGGGTAAAGTGTCACTCAAGCACAGCTCATAAATCTCACTTTTAAAGTGACTCAAAAATATCACTTTTTAAAAGAAATGTCTTAGAGTTGCGCTCTTGCGAGCTGCAAACCAGCCTGCTCCTGCTGTCTGTGGATTTGGAGACCTCTCGACCCACCGGCTCCCCTCCTCCACCTACCCCAAAGAAAACTGCCCCTTTCAGGGGTGGCTGTCTGGGTGACCGAGGGCAGAGACGGAGCCCGACTCACTCATGTAGTTCACAGCAGACGTTTTCTTCGGTCTGACCACCCTGGGCTGGACCCAGTCATGTTTCTCTTCAGGAACCAGAGCTGTCTCCACCTCATTCATCTCGTCCGTCTCAGGTTTTTGGTCATAAGTCTCTTCTTCATAGTGAAGACGGAGGAAAAAATAAATAAATGCTGAGATTCAACAAAAATGTACTTTGCAAAAAAAAAAAGAAAATCTTGGAAACTAAGCCTGTTTGAGGTTTAGTTTGACAAAGAATCATTTCAGCGGTATTTCAGAACGGACCTGGCCAGGTGGAATTCTACCAGCCAAGATGAGAGGGACGGGCTCTGCTGGCTCTGTGTGCTCTGGACCCAGGAGCAGCTGGGCCGGCCAGGGCGAGAAGGCCCAGCACCCCCACACCCAGGTTATCATAATGTTTCCTTGTTCCACGTCCTCCTGCACCGTCAGTTGCCCAAGGAAGTACATCCTCTGACCCCAAACCACAGCTGCCTCCCCGAGGTCTCTCTGGCCCTGAGTTTTCACTGGGAGAGGGGTCTTCCTCATTTACATGCCCAACGTGACACACAAAGACTCACGTCAATGGCCTCGAGTCACACAGCCCCTCATCACCAGCACATCCTGCTCCCTTCTCTACCCCTGTGAGTCATGATCACTTAGCCAAATTCAGCTCCTTTCTCTGCACTGAAGTTTTGCTACCCAGTAACGCTGGACCCATCATGTAGAATGAGCCAGAGAGACCCAACTCCTGGTTTTAAAAAAATGTTCATTGGGTCCTAATCTTTTCCCTACCCAAATATTATTATTTCTCCAACGATCATGACATCATGACCTCCATATTTAAAAATACTTTAATTAACCAAACAAATGGCATTTCTTATAAACATCAGTTCATTTATCTTCCAGCTTTCATCACACAAGACAACTTTTAACTGCTGACCAGAATCTGTAATCAGGCCACTAGGATACCAAACTATAAATTTCAGCCAAAGCAAAGCAGAGAGCTGCTATTTTCATTGGCTTGAGTGGCCTTCTCAAAGATGAATTAAAGCACACCTCCGCGGGGGTCGCCTTGGCGCCTTGACAGCCCGCACCCCCGCACCCCGCAGATATCTGTGGGCCAGACCTGGAAATCCCTGCCGCCCGCTCGTCCTCAATGAGAGAAACGACAGATGCGTTTGGGTAAGCATGGCTTCAAGGAGGAGGAATGAAGCACTATCTTGTCCTCTCTGTGTCATTGGATTAAAATTCAAGTCCCATCAAGTGTTTACCAATCCCGCAGCCTTTTTTCAGCTTCTCTTTAAGAGCAATGATCTCTTTTCTCCAAAGGGCAGACCAAGTTTGTCTTGTCTATACACGACAAACATCCAAATGAAGGGCAGATAAGTGGTTCTCCAGTGCTTTTCGAGGCTAGAATTCTTTGCCTCTGTTTCATGGGGCCAATTCCCTTCTGCATAGCCACCACCCCAGGCGAACCCAGTCCCGAGAGAAAGGATGAGCTTTGAGCTGGGAGATGAGCTGCAGTCTTGAGCCCCCAGGTCTGGTCTACCAGAGCTCACGGACTCCGGCGCCGCTTCTGGGCAGCTCGCTCACAGCTGTGATTTCATGAGCACCTGCCTCTCCCGCCCATCGCCTGTTCCCCGCGCCCCGGAGTCAGACTGTTTCACAGCTCGCTGGACACCCAGCTCCCAGCACGTACTAGTTGCTCAACAAAATTTGCTGAATGAAAGAGAATCAAAACCCCCACAGAATCCCGACTTTGGATTTCTTTGGGGGAAAAAAGTACATATTCCCAGTGCAGTTTAAAGACATTTAGGAAGGTAATTCTGAAAGCATCATCTGTAGCCAAACACCATTAGGTGAAATCTTTATGAAGACACCAGGTTTGCAATGCCATTTGGCATGAGGAGCCGCCTCTGGTCTGCCTTCCCGTCAGTGTGGCTACTCAGGTTTGCCCTTCGCTGAAAGCCAGAGCTGTCTCTGGAATAAGCCGGGTTTTCTTCCACTGGCCTTTAGGATTTTTATACCTCATAATCGTGGCTTTATTTAGCCGAATATAGTTTGGTGAAGCAGTCTAAAGCATTTGAGGGCTCACTATTTAAGAAAATGGGCAGACAGTCCTCGCCCTCAGACACACACATGAAAAGTGGAATGCTTGCTCAGAGGACCGGCTCTGTTTGAGCACATCCTAATTAAGATCCCCTGTGCGGACCGGTGCAGGCCTGGGGAAATTCCATGCCCGAGTTCACAGCAAGGTTACTGCGTGTACCACCCGGTGCCGAACTAGGGGTCTTGGAGCACAGAGCATTGCTTACACCATTCTGCAGATTCCCATCTGGTCTATAAGAGGTAGCAGAGTTCACAGCCAATGTTTTCTGAACACGGACCTCCCCCAGCACACTCCCGCAATATCCTCTTATTGCCCTGAGGTCCCTTAAGACAACATAAACCTCATTTCAGACAGAGAAACTAAGGCTCAGAGAGGCTATGCGACTTGCCCAAGGTCACAGAGCTGAGAGTCAAATTGCCTTTCCCCGAAGCCCATGCCCTTTATCACCACACCTGGCCTGGCTGCAGGGACGCAAACCTCTCCCGTAGCCTATCTTACCCCTGCTCCATCTCCATTATAGGTTTAGGCCCCACTATGCATGCCCAGTAAGTAGTTTATGTAGATCAGTCACTTTGCGGGAGACTTTCTTCCTGGTTAGCTAAGAAAATTGGCACGCCTGCCAAGTGAAGCTGGATATTTTCCACCAAAAATAAAGAAACAAGTACAGAGGCTTCATTGGTGTGGGTAAACCAGAATCAAAGGTATCTTTGCCTGCATTTGTTCTTGGAAAACGACTCTGTGGGTTTCGGGGGTATGCGTACTGAGATGACATCTGCCTCCAGCAGGGCACACTTGCTCCATGCCCCTGGAGGCCCTGGAGTGAACCAGCAGTTGTTAACTACAGGTGGTCAAGGTACAAGGAGAGTTTGGTTGCAGTAAGAGCAGGAAGGCAGGTTCGCTGCCTGTCTGTGTAGTCAGGGAAGGCTTCCTGGAGGAGATGTGGCACAAGAGCTGTGTTTCCAAGGAGGAGAGGGCATCTGGAGATGTGTGAGACCCCCAGGCTGGGAGAGGGCCAACATTCCCTACCAGGTGATGAAGGACCCCATGCAGATATGAATGCAACCATACCACCCACTTCAAGGAGCTAACCAGCTGTGTTTACAAAGCACTGACTATGTGCACGTAGGTTGCTGTGCTAGCAACTTACACCCTTCTCATTGCTTTCCCTGTGGGAGAGCGGGAGGCAGGGGTTTCCGCCTCTGGTCCACAGACTTTGGAGGGGGATGGGCGTACATGCTGTAAAGGTACAAAGGGGTCCCCTTGCAGAGGTGTGCATCAATTCATCTTTGAGAAGCAAATGCAAATAGCATCTCTCTGCTTTGCTTTGACTGAAATTTACAGGACTATGCTACCACTGCTACAGATGGGAAAACTGAAGCTCAAAGAAGGCAAGTGCCGTGCCTGCGGACACAGCCCGTGACGGACGGTGAAGATAACCCTGTTCTGCTTGAATCGGGCGGCTCTGGGCCACGCGTGCGCAGAGACCCTTCACGACAGGAGACTCCACAGGAACCCTCGTGGGCATCCTTCCCTCAGAGTCTCCAGGTCTGACAGAGATGTGACTCCTCTGGGTGGCAGGATGCAGCCACAGGACATGTCTGAATAGGACGATGAAGATGGGACCTGCCTGAGTTTGACCTCAACCTGCTTTCATCTCTTTTTTATTGTAACTTTAAAATCATGCTTATTGATTTAAGAGAGAGGGGAAGGGAAGGAGGGAGGGAGAAAAACATGGATGTGAGAGAGAAACAGTGATCAGTTGCCTCCCGTATGCACCCCAGCTGGGGATTGAACCTGCAACCCATGCATGTGCCCTGACAGGAATCAACCCGCCAACTTTCAGTTGTGGGACGATGCTCCAAACAGCCGAGCCACATCTGCCGGGGCACATTCTTCTCTTAGTCCCTCCACGCCTCCGAGGGTTGTCACAATTACTCCTCTTCTCAGACAGGAAGGCTGAGGCTCAGGGAGATGCAGTGACCTGCTCAGGGTCCCGCTGCTGGAATGTGGCAGGGCCGATATTCTCAAAGCAGCTGTGTCAGCCTCTAAGACCCACGCTTGTCTCACAAATCCAGGAATCAGAGGGGGCACATCAGGGAACAGTTCACACAAGACAGGCATGTGGGGAGGGGGGAGGGGCGTGGCTGAGAGGAAATGGGGAAGCGGGAGAAATTCTGTTTAACAAACACTTACAGAGCCCCACCGCATGGCAGGCACTGCCAGCGTCCCCACATCCGTGCAGGGTTTTCTGTCTTCCTTCCACGACCATGCTGCCTCATGCCTCCAGGCCTTGGCACATGCTGTTCCCCCGCCAGGAACACCTTTCCCTTCTCCCATTACTAGGCTACGTCTTCTTCCTTAAGGGCAACTACTCAGGGAGCCCTTCTCTGACCCCGTTAGACAGCAGCCAATGTTCCTGCCATAAACTCTGTGGCACCCAGTCACCTCCCTTGGAAGATGCACATCAATCCCCGTGGCCAGGACCCCACTGGCTGGACCTCAGTTTCATGGGGGCAGGTCCATTGCTGTCTGGCTCCCGAAGTTATCCCCACTGATATCACCCAGCAACATCCCAGCACACAGTAGGTGCTCAATACATTCGTACCCAATGCATGGACTCTCATTTCAGCCTGAGAGGTGTTGTGAAAGAATGGTGTTACCATGCCCACTTTGCTGATGGGTAGAGCGAACTTGCGGTTTGAGTGCCAGCCTCGAAACCTCGTTTGTCACTTTCCTGCCCCCCCACCTTCCCCAATGGGCAGAATCAGCAGTGAAGAGCCGGCCAGAGCAACAGAGCACCTGGGCCCCTGAGAGGGTCGGGGAACCCCCCCTCACCCACCTCCTTCTTCGCCCCAGAGCCCATGGGACTGACCCCACGCCCCTTCCTTCAGGAGGGCCCGGCACAGAGGGTGGCTCTCTCCTGTGTGCCCAGCCCTCCTGAAAGGCCCCTCTGAGCCATCACAAGGCCTGTGGATGGAGCCACGTGAAAAAAACTCATCTTAACTGCAAAGCACAGATGGTCCCTTTGGCCCAGCTGTGCCTCTTCTGGGACGGAGCCCGAAGAAATATTAAAATGTGAGAAATGCTTTAGGCACGAAAAACGTGCATTGTTTATAGTAGCGGGAGAGTGGAAACAGTCTGAGTGGCCATGATAAACAAATGGGGGAGGAGCTGGAAATTGCACAGCTTTTGAAGGCTCCAGGTTTGCCGGAAGGGAAACATAAATGTTTATGGCAAGCCAGGCGAAGGATGGACAAGATGGGAATGTGCGTGGGTGGCCAGTGGGGGGACAAGGATGGGAAGGACACCCTTGGGAAACAACCCTGCCTATGCTGGAGCTCACCTGAACATCACAGTTCAGTCGTCGGTTTTTAATTCCTTGTTTGTTGCCTGTTTTATATCCAACTGTGAGCACCAACCAACAGGGACAGGCACAGGTCTGAGTGGATGCTGTGGTCACAGTCGGGCTCCGAATCTGACCACGGGAGATGCTCACTGAGGGGACATCGCAGGGGGGTCGCGGGCCCCCAGGGAACTGGGGGTTGGACCCAAGTCTCCTCATGCGCAGGTGGAGAGAAGGAGGGAGGGAGGCGGGGAGCTTCAGGGTGACTGGAGCAGGGCTGGGGAGGGGCCCGTGGACTCCCTCGTTCACGTCTCCCAGTCTGTGGTTTGTGTAAGCTGTTCTGTGAAGTCATTTCCTACCTCGGTAACACAAGTTGTTCCTGCAGCCACCTCCGTAGCTGGGCGGGCACTCGGAGCAGGGCCGGCCGGTTTTGTACGGGGCCTCTCCAATCCAGTTCCCCCTGAAGACAGACCAGAAACGCCACTGTCAGGATGGGCCGCCACTCAGGGGCCCAGGGTCATGCCTCTCCAGGTCCCACTCAGGGCCAAACACAGTCATGGAGTGGGGGAAGGTGGGTGTCACGTGAAGGGAAAGAGGAGCTGCCCGGGGCGCCTCCTGAGCACTGAGAGGCTAAAGGATTTGAGGCGAACCCCACTGAGAGCTGCGCGTCCACTCCCGTCACTCTCGTGCATGTGCAACACCCCACTGGCCCCACATTTCCTCCTGCTGCCCCGTCGCACGGCCCTGGATACGGTCCACCTCCTCCCCGGCCCCAATGCCTTTGTGTGGAAAGCTCCCAGGATCCCCCTTTTAAGCTTCTCCAATGAGTAAGAGTCAGTGTGTTCAGGGAGCACCTCATGTTTAGAAAGTGTGGCCCACATACCCGCCCAGCTCACTCTACCTTTCCAACACCCCAGGACGGACGTGCTGGAATGCAATCTGTTTGCACAAGAAGAAACTGAGGCTCTGAGAGCCTGCGCGGCTTGCCTGAGGTCACACTGTGAGATCTGAACCCCCGCTGTGGGGCTCAAGGCCCCTGACCACATTCTGCCCTTAGGGCTGGGACTAAGGTCCCTTCAGGCACCCCGGGCACCATCCGCCTCCCTCTGATGTTCCCAGCGCAGGAACACTGGAGGCTACTCGGCGAGATTTCCCCAGGGGCTAGGGAGCAGGTGGTGAGTGGAATCCCCAAGTCCTCCCAGCACCTGGGTCTTTAGCAACACAAACTGGAGCCATCAGTGACCAAGGACCAGGCTCTGTAATTTGTTCTAGAAACTTCCTTCATGAGGTAATTGTTCAGCTTGATCTATATTGCTTTCTCCATAGAGGAGGGAAGGAGGTGCGGGCCTGCCTCGCTGAGACCCAAACAGAGCCAGGGAAAGGCTCCATGATGGGGAACTATTACTCTGTGCAGAGTACCAGTCAAACCAGAAAGGCAATTACAGGAGGAGTTAGTGCAAAAAAAAAAAAAAAAAAAAAAAAGGTGTTCGGGTTTCAGCTTTAAGGTATATTTTTATGTAATTTTTTTAAAATCAGAAGGGACCAAACACCAAGACACATCATGATTAGAATGTGAGAGATTAAAGATAAAGAGAAAATCTTAAAAGCAGCAAGAGAAAAGCAGAGAGCTAACTACAAAGGAGTTCCCGTAAGACTGTCCGCTGCTTTCTCAAAAGAAACTTTTCAGGCAAGGAGAGACTGACAAGAAATATTCAAAGTGATGAAAAACAAGGACTTACAACCAAGATTACGCTATCCGGCAAAATTATCATTTAGAATGAAAGGGCAGATAAAGTGCTTCTCAGACAAGGTAAAGCTAAAAGAGTTCACCATTACCAAGCCCTTATTACATGAAATGTGAAAGAGACTTATCCAAGAAAAAGATCAAAACTATGAACATTAAAATGACAATAAACTCACAACTATCAACAACTGAGTCTAAAAAAATAAAAACAAACTAAGCAAACAACGAGAACAGGAACAGAATCATAGGTATGGAGATCATTTGGAGGGTTGCCGGCTGGGAGTGGGGAGGGGGATGGGGGAAAGGTGCAGGGACTAAGAAGCACACTTGGTAGGAACAAAACAGACAGGGGGAGGTTAAGAATGGTCCAGGAGATGGAGAAGCCAAAGAACTTATATGCACCCACGGAAACGAACTAAGGTCCGGGGAATTGCTGAAGGGAAGCGGGGTACCAGGTGAAAGGGGGCACGGGGGGAGAATTGGGACAACTCTAATAGCATAAACAATACTATAATTTTTTTTTTAAAGTGACTGAACAAATTAAAATGGTGAGGCATCTCTGCCTGAGGCCAAATCCCTGTCCCATCTCTAACCCCTTTCTCTCTGGTTCACAGAATGGATCATGTGCCCCTTGCTGAAGTGACCAGTTATTTGCTCTCCTGCCTCCTTGAGAGAACGAAGATTGTGTTTTTGCCACTGATTTCGCCATAGGAAATCATCTCGTCACCCTTTTCTGGGTCGGAAGCTGCTGTCTCTGAAAGTGCCATCTCATTGTGCTGTTTCAGTTAGTGCTGGAGAAATCTGGAATAGTTCATGTACAAAACTGCTTTCAAATTGTATATTATTTTGAAACTTTGCTTCTTAGGGGTTGGGGCACACCGGCCGCCCTGCCTGGCTGTGACAGCTCCCTGCAGCCTGGGCTGGCGGGGGCACTGGTCTCTGAGTCTCTCTCCTTTCCCGGTGCCCCCCTACTGGTGAGGTGCCTGTGATGTCTGTTAGGTGCGGGTCCTGCCACTTACTGCCTTCAGATGCGCTCTCCTTTAGTGTGGTCTCTTTGAAGGCCGATTGGGAGAAAGAAACCCACGGTGCAACTATTTAGATACTGAAAATTGACAAATGTCTTTTAAAATAAAGAACAAGTCGAAAGAAAGAAAAAAGGAGGGAGGGAGGGAGGGAGGGAAGAATGGAAGGAAACAAAACGAAATTTCCTTCATGGTCACCCAGTCACTCACTTGTTCACCCAGGAAAGGTTTCTGGGCCTCTCTGCTGGGCCACCTTTGGCCCTGCCTCCTCCAGCTGAGTGGACCCCAGCCCTGCCAGCTGGGGGACCCCAACATCCCCAGCCCTGAGCCCGTTGCTCTGTAACGGGGGTAACGACAGGAGGCTGCTGTAAGGATGAAGTGAGTGAGTGACTGTGTGGACGCCCCAGGCCAGGGCCCAGCCCAGGGTGGAGGTCACACACTCTGAGCACCTCCTAAACCAAGAAGCGTGTCTGGGTGATGCTTCTGACAGCTTTCCAGGAAGGCCTGGGAGGGGCCCTGCTAGTGTTGGCCAGAAGACAAACTGCAAAAAACGCCCTCTCTGTGTAACCTCTGGCTCAAAATAGCAGGATGGCATCTCCCGGGGCTGTATGGGTGTCGGGCTTGGCAATGGAGGGCGGCGGCCCATTATAATATGTTCATCACTTCGACCCTCGCCCACCACGGATGACAAATGACAGCGTCCTAACCCTGCCGCAGACCCCGCTCAGCGGACCACCTCCGCTTGGACGTGCAAGGTCAGAGAGGGCCTCACAGAGGCCTCACGGGGGCCTTTGGAATGACTCTCCCAGATGGCCCACCGCCAGGCAGACTGAGGGCCTCAGGGCCTGTCCTGTTGCTGGGTTGGACTCAGTAATTTTCTTCAGACAATTTGGGCCCCCAGCGGGGTTCATCAGCGCCCCCACGCTGAGCTCGCCGGCCTGTCAGGGGTTCCGTATTTCCTCAAAGGCCAACCGCACCTCTGACGGTCCGGGAATAACAACACTCAGGTTAGTGGGTGCGCAGGGCCCGCTGGGGGGCGGGCTCTGCACCCAAGTCCTGTACACAAACAGTCCCTTTACTCCCTCAACAGCCCCTTGAAGTAAGTGTCCTCTCCTAATGCACAAGGTCTTCAAGGTACAAGACCCACCCAAAAGGATGTGAGCCCAGACACTGCCCTGGGACCCACCCTCTCAGCCTCTGCCTGCTGCCAGGCCAGGGGCTCAGGCATTTGAAGATGAGGCCATGGTACACACACAATAGAATACAAGGCCCATCAAACACACAGTACTGCAGATAAGTCTCATAGGCACAGTGTTGAGGGGAAGATGTTGGGCATAGGAGGGCATATCTGTCCGGTCCGTTCATATGAGGGTCTAAAACAGACAGACTGGTAGATGAGGAGAGATGTCAGAATACTGGCCATTTCTGAGGGGTGTCCTGGGGCACTGGAAACATTCTTATCTTGACCTCAGTGGTAGTTATGTGGGTATATATATATACTGTACGGACTGAATTGTGTGTGCCCTAAAATTCATATGCTAAAGCCCTAACCCCCTTTATGGCTATACGTGGGGATAGGACCTCTAAGGATGTAATTAATGTAGGTTGAATGTGGCCAAAAGGGTGGGGCCCTGGATGGGATTAGTGCCTTTATAAGAAGAGACACTAATGAGCTCTCTCTGTCTCTCTCTCACTTGCCCTCCCCACCCCCACTGAGTGCATGTACCAGGTAAGGATACAAGGAAAAGGCAGCCATCTACAAGCCAGGAAGAGAGTCCTCATTAGAAACGGGCCCTGCTGAAACTTAACCTGTGACTTCCAGCCTCTAGAACTGTGAGAAATAAATGTCTGTTGTTTAAGTGCCCAGTTTCTGATATTTTGTTATGGCAGCCTGAGCAGACAAATACATGTATAGAGATGTGAAAATTTATCAAGCTGTATACTTAAGATTAGTGTATTTTACTGTCATAGGTTATTCCTTTTTCAAGAAAGGCAGTCGGGGCTATAGAAAGGAAGGATTGTATTTTTGATAGGGTCTTCTCGTGTATTTTTCTAAAGATTTTATTGATTTACTTTTAGAGAGAGGGGAAGGGATGGGGAAAGAGCAGGAGAGAAACAGCACTGTGCAAGAGATAACATTGATTGGTGGCCTCTCTCGCATTGTCCCAACTGGGGACCTAGCCTGCAACCCAGACATGTGCCCTGACTGAGAATCAAACTTGTGGCCTTTGGGTCCCCAGGCCAGGACTCAATCCACTGAGCCGCACTAGCCAGGGCTCTAGTGCATTTTTTATACAAAGAGTCAAATTGAATTATTCCTTACTCCCCACCTGCCACTCTGCCAGGAAGTCCACCAACGACGGGCCAGTTTATTGCTCTTCCACGGGCTGTGTCTCTCCCCATCAGTGACGTGATCCCCCTCCTCTCTGCGGGCTGCTGAGACTCTGCCGCCACAGGCATGCCAGACGGTGGATGGAGAGTTGCATTTTCCTCCCAAGCTCAGCAATTCCCCTTCATCGGGCCTTCTCACAGCCACTCATGACCCAAACCAAATAAATGAGGTCATTCCCATTTTATTCAGTCACTGAGCAAATACACCTCAAGGGCCCGCAACGTGCAGGGCATGGTGCTCGGATGAAAGCCTTCGTGCAAACCACAGGCCACAAATCCAATGAGCAGTTCTGCGAGAACGGGCACGCGTTTGTCTGAAGAGCAACGGGGGTGAGTGAGTAAAGGGATAAGGGATGCACTGAGGGCACCAGGCTGTGTAAGGAGGAAGAGGGGGCTATGCCCTAAAGACTTGATGTGATCCCTTCGGAGAGAGGGACATATAAAGATGCAAAAACTCAGTCTAATGTGAATACTTGTTTTCTAGAATGCTATCTGCTGCATATTTTCAGAGAGAAAAAAATAATATCACTATGACAGACTTCACTTGTTGCCCAGTCAACCGCTATTGCTACTCCTGATTTGTTCGGGTGGTCCCAGAGGAGATTTGCAAAGGCAACCGGGGAAATTCCATTGGTCAAAACCAAACGGGGCAATCCTGTGTCTGCAAGTGGTCTTGTTCTAGCCAATGACATAAGGAGAAAGTGGTCCAGGGGTGAGAAAGACCTAAGGAGAGAGCTCTTTTCTACCATTCTCTTTCCTGCTGCTTGGGAAGACATGACACGCAGTGCTTGGCAGCCATCTTGAGACCATGAGGAGAGGATAGTACAGCAGGAAGATGAAAGGAACCTGAGTCCAGGTTGACACTACTGATCTAGTAAACCCACCCAGATGCACCAACCTCTAGACTCCTTGTTATGTGAATAATGAAGAGACTCACTGTTTCAGACAGGTTTAGTTGGGTCCTCCACAGCTGGCAAAAACATCCCAACCCATACAACCATGGCAACTTGTTCTTACTTTGGAGAGTAATTGCAGACAAGATAGACAGCATTCTCCCAAATGTCTCCCCAGACGTTCATCCTCTGGCAGGTGTTCACAGCACAGCCAACCTTGTTGGTGGTGGCCCAAACTATCTGAAAAGACAACATTCCTGCGTCAGAACTCAAGGGGCAAGGCACATCAGGGTGACATCATCTGGCCTGGATCTTTCCGGTGCTGGTGTTAAAGGCGTATGTGGTAAAGGGCTGAAGGGCCAGATTTTCTCCCAACCCACTGAAGATCTATACATTTGTTTAAAAATAAACAAAACAAAAAAAAACTGAACAAACAAACTACACACTAGGAAAATGCCCCAGTGTGTACAAGTGCCATATAAGTTTCTAGAGATTAGTCTCAGTGTTCTAGTTGTGAATCAGTCACAAAGCCACTTGATCCACCAGCTATACTTTGAATAGCACCAAGTTAAAGAAAAAAAAATTAAGGCAATGGCAGTAGAGGTTTTCCTATCAGGCAACAATCCTGCAGGGCCAGTGAGGGACTGGGTGTGGGGGTGCTGGACTGAGTTCAAGGCCCATTCCGCCAGTGTACCTGTGTGTAGTGGGTGCACATGGTCCCGGAGCACCTCTCTGGACACCAGGGGTTGCACTCATGGGGATAGGGGTAGGTGTAGTCCTTCACCTCGTCATACCAGGACTGCACGTGGAACCCGGGAGAGCGATACCTGTAGGGACAGATCGGCTTGTTATGTTCTGGCCACCACACACCCAGCGATGGAGACCACAGCTGGCGCTACCATCAAGGGGATAGACTGGAGGAGGGGCTCCCTCTGAGACAATAGCCCCAAATCCCACCTAATGCCTATTAAAAATGCTTATGACCCAAATTGGTGAGGAGCTTTCCTGGGCATCCCTGGAGTCCTGGGTTCCAGGAGTGTCCCTTTGGTGGCCCACGTGCCACCTGTGTGTTCAGGAAACTTTTACCTGACCCCCAATGACTCATTTTTTATGTTAAGAATTACATGTTTATTTTCATATACATTTAGGAAAATATATGCAGCTCAGGAGCCCCATATTTCAAAGGTGTTATTATTGTTTAAGACAAAATGATTTAAGACATGAATTCATTTACAGTCAATGTAGGAAAAAATATTGAGTAAATAGTTGAACTGGTGATGCACAGACGGGACACCCGCTCCCCCCTCCAGTGGCAGGGGAGGATCTGGAAGCTGGGAAGCAGCTGGCTAAGGGGGCCAGGCAGATGGGCCCCCATCACCCACCAATAAGTGGTTAGGACTGGCTTTGTCCCTGGGCTGCCTGGGGGAACCCAGAGACTGGAATGCAGTGCAGAAAACTCATTCAGGACACAGAAACCTGTAGGTGTGCAGAGCTCTGCAGTCAGGTATGCAAGCCCTTTTGAAAACTTCCTATTCAGGATTTCTTACTGAGCCTCCCTTGCCCCAGCAGTGAGGAGGGCCCCCGGTCATCATCGTTGGTGGCCGCGGCCCCTCGCTTGGGCCGCATCCGCCAGGCTGGCGCTGGTTATTTTCTTAGGAAAGAAAATAAACTGAATGCAAATCCCAGGTCGCCATCACCAGTAAGTGTAAACAAAGCGGTTTCAATAAAGAGAAAGGAGGCGCAGGGGACTGGCCATTTCTAAGAGCGCTGCGGTGAGATGGGCACTTAGAGGTCTTGTAACAATTACTGTCAGAGCCAGAGCGAATGGCAGTGGTCAGTGACGTGGCCAGGGAAATGGCCTGTTTTCCTGGAGCCGGCCTGGTGAAAGAAACACACAGCCACCGAGCTCCAGAGCAGAAGGACCCCCATCACCCGGTCTGTCTCCAGAGCCTTGGGCCAGGTGGAAGCCGCCGTGGCCTTGTGAGTAGGGGGCTCTTTGGGAGAGCAAGTTAGAAGTGTTCACCTCGGTGTCCTATCAATGCCACTCCTCAGAGTTATCCTAATAAAATAATTCAAACGAGCCAACAACAACAGGAAAAGAAAGCTACAAGAATGGAATGACTACATTTTGGCCTGTCCACTTCATAGCCCATAAGCAGCCTTTACGAGATGATGACCATGATGACTATGTAATAGAAAAATTATCTGGTATTGTATGAGAAGGAGAAAAATGAATTAAAAGCTGTGCTGGCCACAGTTACAACTACGTAAAAATATGCCGGCCTACAGCCAAATGCTACACAGGAGCCCAGAAAATGGAAGGAGGGAACTAGGACAGTGGAATGATGGATTTCTTCCCCCGTAGACAGTTCTATTTCATGCTGTCGTAGACTGATTTTATAAAAAGTAGAATTCATCAGAGGAAAACAATATTGTGTTGATTTACTTCCATGAATTCATGTCTCTCTAGATCCATTGTGACGCCTGCTCAGGTTTGGTCCTGAAAAGGAACTGTCCTAAAGGGAGGTGTAGCTGCCTGTGGCTAAATTCAGCTCCAGAATGTTAAGAGCGGGGAGATATCTGGGTTAGAGTCAAGCAAAGCCTGACCTGTATTTCGACGGGATATTTCAAGTCCAGTCCAACTTTTCGATGGAAAGGACAAGATGAAAGTTGACCCCGAGACACCCCTGGATCCAGATTCAGAGGAGTTGTAGGCACAGCACGTTGACTGAGATTCAGTTAGTCTTAATTGGTCAAAAGACATCTTCTCTACTTCCTCTGATGAAACCAGCCCCCAGGATGGAGAGGACTTTCAGCCAGGCTGGCTGCATGGGTATGCGGCCCAGTTTCCTTTGGGGAAGGCCAGGGAATGACATTTAACTGACCATTGTCAAGTGCCTCCTATGAACAAGGGGACAAAGGCGCTGCCAGGCCGGGAAGCCTCGGAGGTTTAGTCATGTGCACGAGCCCTCCACAGCCAGGCAAGAAGGGGAAGTGACAGGTACCAGCCCACGAGGTGGAACCTAGCTATGCCTTAAAGGAACAGAACCCAGATGTACTGGGACGGAGAAGAGAGTACTGATCCGCCACTACAGGAGCAAACGTTCCCATGTTCCTGGCTCGCCCAGCCACCTCCCTCCCGGCCAGCTGCAACTGGCTCATGGACCCTTTCAAGGAGACGGAATGGAAAACTCATAGCCTAGAAACCCCCGAGTCCGATCATCAGTGTCTGGAGTTGACAGCCAGGCTCACATCCATTTTGCCAATTACTCAGAAGTGTTCTTGGGCACAGGGCCTCAGTTTCCCCACCCGTAAACGACATGGGAGGTTTCTCTTTCTTAGTGGGTGATCATGAGGGCTAAATGCGATAATGGGCAGCAAGCACCAAGTCCGGCACACAGTAGGTGCTCAGCCTTGGTGGCCAGTTCACAAGAAAGTGGGGGGTGGGGAGTGGGGAAACCACGCAGCTCTTACCTGCCCCAGTGGACGCCCAGGTTCTGCCCAATGGACACCAGCAGGTTGGTGGGTCCATGCTCCCAGATGCACTCGTGGGCCCAGGCTGCCGCCGACCTCGCCAGCTCTTCATCCCAGGTCTGCAGGGGGCGGAGAAACGAGCACCTTCAGCGTCAAGGATGGGTCAAAGAACCAAAATGCTGTCGCCTCCCACTGTGGCTCCTGGTAAACCCAGGGGCTGGTTTCAGCTTCTGCAGCACATCGGTGCATGCCACGACTGAGTCCCTAACTCAGCAAGTGGGAAGTGGCAGGTCAGCGAAGAACTCGGAGGAGCCTGGTTCCAAGGCTGCCCTCAGAGCTCCTGCTCCACCTCTGACTTGCCGGTGACCATGGGCAAGCCCCTCGTCCCTCAGCCTCAGTCTCTTCACCTGTGAGATGGGAGGGTAAATAGGTCCTGGAGACGGATGGTGGCAATGGTGACACACCACTGTGCGTGCACTTAATGCGACTGAACTGTGTATTTAAAAATGGTTAGGATGGTACATTTTATGTTGTGTATATTTTACCATTATTTTTTTTTTTAAAGGTAGCAAGAAATGCTTTCGACTTGCCCAGCCCTGCTCCCCAGTGGCGTCAGGCTCACGCTAAATCAGGGGCCGGGCAGGGGGCCTGGCCAAAGAACCTGAAGACAGGCTCTGCAGCCGGTCCTGCCTCCCAGCTGGCCTGGGGAACACACGTAACTCCTCAGGAAAGAACACAGAGAGAGAACAAAGCAAGCGGGGTCATTTCTCTTCTGCGGAGGAACAGACGCCAAGCAGCCCGCGGAGCTGCCTGCAAACCAGCTGCTGCGACGCCTCCTCCCAGAGTCATCGGGCAGATGCTCCGGCTCACAGGCAGGCAGGGGCCGTCCCCCGCTCTGAGTAGCCCAGCCCCTGGCACACAGCAGGTGCCCAGTGACAGGCTGCCTGGGCAGGGCCCTGAGACCTGTCCGGGACAGGAGGCTGCTTAAACCAACTGTGAGACCCCAGTACGGACTGTCACGACGCTGCCTGCTTCCTTCTCCTCCTCCTGTCCTGCTGCCTCCTTCCAGCCAAGATAACCAAGATTCCTCGACATCCCTGGGCAAGTCCTGCCCAAGGGCAGAGCCCCTGGGGACTTGCTCCACACCCCTCATGACCTCCCACTGAGTCGCAGTGGACCTGGTGGGTGTGCTCAGACTCATGCCCCCGCGGACGGCACCCCACCTTCAGTAGCCACCAAGCCCTGGGCTACTGCTGCCTAGGATCTCTCTCCAAGGTCTGAGCACAGCCTGAACTGGGTGAGGAGGGGTCCACACTGGGCCTCAGATGCTGGGGTGGAGGGGCTGAGCCTTGACCGCCCCCCCTACCGAATGGCCCTGCATGGAGGCGTCCCTGGCAATGGCCCTGAAGGCTTGTTTCCCTGACAGGCAGGTTATTTAGACCTAAGGACCCAGATCCCAACTCTAATCCTGAAATACCATGAAGTAAACAAAGAGAAGTCCACAGGTTTGTCGCAGGCTGTTCATGAGGCCCCAGCTTGCCAGCTGCCTATCTAAGCTCCCTTCACTTGCCCCAAGCCTTTCATACAACCACTAAATAAGTTCAGTGCCACCAGGAATAGCCCAGCAGAAACCCAGCCTGTTCCAACAGAGGTGGGGGCAGCCAGACCCCTGGGGGTTTGGGGTTCCGTAAGCTTCAGGCTGAGCAAAATACCTGCTCCCTGGTGGGCACCACTCAGGCCTCGGGGTGGGAAGGGCACAGGGTGAGGGTGACCGTGCAGAGGGAGGTACGGAGCGTCCTTTCCCGAGGCCAAACCAACAGGTCCAGGGGAAGATGAGGAAGAAGCCTGTTTCCAAAGTTGCAAAGAAATCTGCCCTAATTGCCTACAACTTTAACCCTGAAAAGGTCTCCATAAGCTGCCCCATGCATTTTGGAAGGCTGCCCGTTATTCGTCCTAGAATTAGCACAGCCCCTTTAGAATAGATGCCTGGACAATTTTCTTGAGGGGAAAAAGGAACATTTTGTCACAAATTCCCAAAGCCTAACTCGCAGGACTCTGCCCAGGTGGGTGGCCCATTCATCTGCCCTACAGCTGGTGACAGGCCACCCAGTGTGGGCACAGACAGGGACAGCGAAGGGTTTGGAGACACATGGGGCGGTCCCCAGCCATGAGCGCTACCCATGCCAGGACAACAGGAAAAGCGACAGCTGAATCCGGGGGACGGAGAGGAGCGTGGCCCCGGGGGCAGGGCTGCAGGGGAGCTGGACGAGGAAAGCGGCAGCGGGAAAGTGCTCTCAGGGCCAAGGGGGAGGTGGCTGTCCACACACGGCATCTTCAGGGGACACCCAGCAGACCTGTCTGGCCAAGGGGAGGGAAGGAAACAAGCGCGAAGACAGGCAGGGCTCCTGCTAGAAGCCTCGGATGCCAGGCAAGCAGCACCTGGGCGTCGTCCTGGGCACAGAGGGCCCTGGAGGCTCCTGAGCAGCGGAAAGGCTGGAAGAAAGTGGAGAGTTAGGAAGCATAACATGACAGCAGGATTCAGAAGGAGCCGGATAAGGGCAAGGTGGGGGGCAACCCCTCCCCCCAGGGCTGAGGCTGTCACATTAATCAGGGCTGGGAAATCCTCTGTTCCTAAGAGGGATTCCTCCGGATTCAGAGGGGACCCCACCTGCCACTGTCCCTTCTGTGCCTTTTCCTTTCCAACAGACACACCTTGTCTCACAGATTCAGCCATACTCGCTTCACAGACAGAGAAGGTGCAGTTGAAGGGCTGGATGAAGACCAAGCTGGCACAGTAACCATAGTAACACCACAGCCCCAGATGTGAGGTCTGTGCTCAATTGTCACGGGAACCATGACAGGACGGGATTCTCAAGTCTGAGGCTCAGATTGCCTGATGTCCAGGTCGCACAGCTAGGAGGCGGCAGAGCCCAGCCCTGGGACCCTCCCCCTCCGCCTTCCGGGGGGCCTGGTGGAAGCCCAGGGCGGCTTCGTGAGCTGACCTCCAGAGAAGTGCCACGTGGGGCTGGCCACGAGGCAGCTTCTGCTGGGGAGCTCATGGGGGCTGTTTTAATGGGGGATCGGGAATAGAGGCAAGGGGCCCTCCGCTATCCAAGACCCCAGGCCTGCCGCACACCCAGCGACGGGGGACAGAACAGGCGGAGCGCAGGCCTCCTGCCCCCGGGTGGGGATGCCAGCACTCACCATGGACTCCATGTTGGAGGCCGGGGGGTACACTTGGCCCCGCAGTTTATTGTGAAGCATGAGGATCTCCTCCTGGTCCGACCTGGGGATCGCCCTGCGGGCCCGGGAGTGGGGCTCGTCTTGCTGGTATTTGCTGAGCAGCTTCTCTAAGTGTGTGACGTTGGGCAGGAAAAAGCCTTGGGCCTCACAGACCAGCAGCACCAGCCCCAAGGGGATGAGGCCATTCAGGACACAGCTCATGGCTCCTCTCTGGCAGCAAGAATTGGAGTGACGCGGCAGCCTGGGCTCCTGGGGCAGAGCTGGGTGCTCGGGCGCTCTGAAAAGAAGCAGAGGGCAGCGGGGGAAATGTCAGCCAGCGTTAAACCAGCTCCAAAGTCGGCTTGGGCAGTGAACAGAATAGGTAACATTTTCCCCACTCTGCAGACGTGGAAACTGAGGCTCACAGGGGCTCAGTAACCAAAGTCCCACAGACAGGAAGAAGGGGAGCTGGGATTCAAGTGAAGCGTTTCCAGTGAGGCAAACTGCCCGGACTCCGCATAGGACATCCTGGCACGGTCTCTCCTGGACCCACGTTCTCTCATCACCAGTCTCTCATGACTGGTTTTGTCATTTTGAGTCAGTATTTCTACTCATTCAGGACTCAGGTGGGTCCACGGCCTGAGTTAAGTTCTGTCTCCTGCTCCCAAAGGAGATTGATAAGGTCATTTCACATCACCGAAGGATGTGCCCTGAACAAACGTTAGTAGCCAACTTCCTTGTCCCCTTGAAATAAGACCCAGGGTACCCCGTGTGGTCAACAGGCATCCTTCCCCAGACCCATCGCTGCACAATGCCCCTCTCCTCACAGCCCTGCCATCGGCACCGCCCTGCCATCGGCACCGCCCACACAGTCGTCACATACTCCAGCGTGTCACCAGACCCAGCCAGGGACCCAGCTGCATGCTCAGCCCTGTCCACTTGATCCTCGGAGAAGTGACAGTGGAAAGAAGGAAGACCTCCTAAGGGTGCTGTGTACCCCAGCCTCGTCCTCGAGCCTGCCTGGCAAACACACTCAACAACCAAGCACGTGACCCCGCTTCCCCAGCTTCTGTCTGATGGCGAGCCTGCCCCAGACACCGGCAGGGGTTACCATTTTGGCTACTTAGTCAGTGGTTCACATGGGCAATCAGCACCCAAGGGACACATCAGGATGGTTACTTACTGTTGGTTGACAAAGCCAGCAGCAGTGCGAGGGGACAGAAGAGGGCGGGCTGAGACTCCTAGACCTTCACAGCCTCACCTTGGAGCCGCACTTCCCCTAGTGCATTTCTGGAACCCCAGCTCTGCCACTTGTCAGAGCTGTGGGGTCGTATCAGTGGGGATTCCCCATCTCAGAGACCCCCCTGGTGCCGACTGCAGGAAAGAAAGCTCTCCCACTTGCATTACCTGTCAAGGATCCTGATGGCCCTTCCTTGCCTTTGCTCTACAAGTCCTTTCCCCAAATAATCCTCTCACTCAACGTTCTTCCCGGGCACCCATCTGAGGAAGAGCTGCGTTAGTCTTCGAATACACAAACTAACTTGAGATTTCCAAGGGCTGATATTAGGTGAATTTCCATTGCGCCTTTTGTTCTTTCTAAAAATCCTTCCTAGGCATCTCCGTGGACCAGTCACATCGTTCACATCATTTCGAATCCCAGGACAACCCCGGGGCCTGTTTGTCATCTCTCCCGCTTTACACATGCGGGAGCCGAGGCCTGGAGCGGTGCTGCCACAGGCCTGAGGCTGCGGGACGAGTGAGTACAGATGCTGGGACTGGAACCTGGCTGTGACGGGGGGTCTCAGCTCCACGAAAGCGCCACCCACTGTGGCCCTCCTCCTGGTTGTCACCTGGCAGGGCTTGTGTGTGTTCATTTACATCTCTCAGCTCTGCTTTTCTCCCAAGGGAGAGTTGGTGAGTCACCCGTTGGCCTTTATTGGGCACTGGTTTTGTGTTAGACTCTGGGGAGACAGGTAAGAAAAGCCACAGCCCCCCACCCAGTGGGACAGGGATGACTTAAGACATCCCAGGGAGCTGGAGGAGGGGGCTCTCTGGGTGGGAAGGGCGGCAGCCATGCCTGTGTGCTGACCCCCTCAGAACCCTGAGAGGCTTGATCCTTTCAACAAGGCTTCTCTGGTCTTCACCCACATTAGTGATACCTAGTGCTCGCCAGTCAAGCTGGCTGGGACCAAAAGATGGCAGCAGGGGAGGGTACCATCAGGGGCAAGACACAGAGTGCGACAAGGAGGGGATGAGCCGCCTGAACAAGCAGAGCTGGGAGTCCCAGGAGGCAGGGCAGAGCCTAGGAGCTATGGGAAAGAGGCAGTTTCCATCTCCGACCCTGGAAACTCTCCAGGGTCCTGACCGAGCCCGAGCTTCAGATAAAAATAACCGCCACCCAGAGGGGGGAGAGCAGGCTCCCTTTGGCATGAGCCCCATGTGGCTTCCCTCCCAAGGAGTTTCCTTTGGGGCAGAGCCCCAGGCACTGCAGGGAGGACTTGTGCGTGCTACTTGCCCCACTGGGAATCAAACCAGTCAAGCAGAACTCCTCAGGGTCCCTGACTTCTCTCTCAGGTTAGTCACACCACCATATAAGAACATTTCCCAGCTGCAGAAGGCCAGGCTGAAGGAGATGCCAAAACGCACTGACGCTGCATTGAGATTTGAGACAAAGTAAGCGGTGACCGACATCACCAAGCATCCTCTCTGGCATCATGACCACGCTCGATTTGCTTTGCTCTACGTTAAAGCAGCTGGCAGGGCAGGGCACCCGCAAACAGGAAACGTGAATTGCTTATATAACTCAACTTTGGCTCAGCTAGACTAAGACCTGAGTTTGGTTTAAACTGCCAATGGGCACAGCTCAAATGGCTATCAATAGTGGTAATCAGTAAATAAATTGTGGGGTAGCCATGAGGTAGAATATTATACAGCAGGTAAAAAGGAATGAGCTAGGGCTATGTGAGTGTCAGTATAAAACTCAAATACCACGTTGGGTTAAAAAGCAAGTTGTAGAATATTATGCTAATTGTATTATTTACATAAACTTTTTAACATATAAATCATATTTTAGATATGCATGTATATGTACATACAACCATCTTACAACCATCATACAACCATGTATATGTACATATACAAACATCTATATGTATATGATATATACATATATTATATACACATACATATACACATGTCTGTATCTTTGTGTTAGAATACGTGTGTGTGTGTGTGTGTGTGTGTGTGTGTTGTTTGCATGGTAAACCCAGGACTGAATCAGAACCTCCGGGGTGAGGGCATTGGAACTGGGAAGGAGAAAGTGAGGGACTTCATCTTTATCTTTAACATGTTACTTCTACTAAAATCTCAAACGAATATGCAAGTGTCTGCTTCTGTTCACTTTAGGTAGATAGACAGGCTGAGTTGGCAGAAACTTCAAAGTTGCAGCCAAAGAGGGCGCCCTCCAAGACTGGACCTACGTGGTAGAGGCAGCCTGTCCTTTGGACTTGCCCACTTTAAAACAAAGCAAAATGCCAACATGTGAAAGGACAATGAAACAACTGCACGTCCCAAGTGCATTCTCTGGCATGCTCCCCTGAACAAGTGTGACCTTATTCCGAACTGAAGCCACCTTCACTTTGAGTATGAAAGGGGCCCCACACTCCAGGGCAATGCCTTCCCTGGAAGGTTCCAAAGAGAACTGCTAAAGTCTTGGCAAGAGTTTTAGAGTTGGGAGAACTATGGGGTTTCCTGGAACTTCCCATTGGAAGAAAATGGTGAAAGGAGAGAAGAGAAAGAGTTTCTTCAAGCCTCTTCCGCTCTGCGCCGGTCGCTGGCCTGGGAAACGCAGACGTGCCCTGGGTCACGCCATTTGTGGCACCATGCTGGGTGGCATGTCCAGTGTACCGTTAGGTCTGAAGGTGGGTTGGCCTGACTGGCACTCAGGGTGCCTGGGGATCCGTGCTGGAGCAGGGTAAGGCCCAGATCTTGATGCTCCTGCTAAGTTTAGGCAGCAGGGGAGCACTGAAGATTTCAGTATAATCAGAGTGATAGCAGGGCTTGCATCTCACTCCCGTCTGCGCTCCCAGAGCCCAGCATGGTACTGGCACAGGGGAACCAGCACAGGGTTCTGGGCTGGCTTGAGTCTCTCCCAAATTCATATGTGGAAGCCCCAACCCCAAGCATCCCAGAATGTGACTGTATTTGGAGATCAGGCTTTTAAGGGTGTGAATAAGTTAAACGAGGTCATTGGGGTGGGCCCTAATCCAATACAACTGGTGTCCTTATAAGAAGCAGAGATTAGGACAGAGACACACACAGAAGGAACACCATGTGAGGACACAGGGACAGACAGCTGTCTGCAAGCCAAGGAGAGAGGCCTTAGAAGGAACCAGCCCTGCAGACACCTCGATCTCAGACTGTCAGTCTCCATAGCCGCGAGGCAGGAACTGTTTCTTCTTTAAGCCACCCAGTCTGTGGTCCTTGGTTATGGTAGCCCTACCACACTGATATGTGCATCAGATAAGTGGGTGAAGAGGATCTGTTTCAAATATCCCTCTGGGCACTACCTGGAAGGAGGCGAGGTGGAAACAGAGAGGCAAATTAGGAGGCTGAGGCAAGGATACGGCTCCTCCGGCAGTGGCAGTTGGTGCTCCGTCAAAGCAACAAGCCCGCTGGCCGGGGCCCACCTCATGGGCAATACCAGCACCCCGGGCCTGTTTCAACCATTCAGCCTCTGCCGTCCAAACAGCTCAATCAGAATTCAGGACGAAAGGACTTCAGTCATTTTTCTATTTACAATTAAAAAAAAATTTTTGCAAATGAGACATACACACTGTCCAAGGCTGCCTAGAGATTTCCAATGACAAGTACATGCTCCCTCCAGGAAGGCTGGCAGGGGGCTTATTCTGTGGGAAGCCTACTGTGTACCAGTCACTGCATTTCTCAATTCACCTCCCAATGACGCAGAGGTTCGGGTTTCACTAACCCATTTTACAGATGAGGATACTGAGGCCTCTGTTGTTTAAGAAACCCACACAAGGTTCCACCCGGCGATAGAATACAGCTTTATCTGACCTAACAGCCCTTTTTTACTGCCACCCCATGGATTTCCTGTCACCACCTGTGCAGGGGAGGGATGTCAAATGTTGGTTCCACTAGCTGCACAAACTCACAAATACCAGGCAGTGTCTCCTGGACTGAGTTTTATTCTCTGTAAAATGGGGCTGAAAGCAACCACCTCCCTGGCAGAGATCAACGCCCCTGGAAGCTTCGGCCACCAACAACCCCATCTCTCTC